GGAACGAACCAGGGCTTTAAGGGTTTTAGGGGCTTAAGGCCCTTGAGGGCCTTAGGGTTTTGAGGGTTCTTTGGAGGTTTGGGGGGTTTAGGGCTTTGTGCCATGGCTTTTTAGGTTGCCCCAAAGGCCCGCAAAAGAGGCCGTGGCAAATCGCTTGTCTCTCTGGGTGTCGTAGTCCTCGTAGCGGCTGGTGCCCGCCCCCTTTGGGTTGAGGTTTTCGGGTTTAGGAACCCCGACGCCTAAACCCTAAACCCCATCCTCCCAACCCCAGGGGTCGCATGTGTGGTCACGCGAGTCGAAGCCGAAATCGTGGAATGCTACGCTTCGGGCCTCTTGAATCTGGGGATGGGGATGGCTTTGGGACCTACGGCGGCTACTCGACCTCGAAGCATTTGCGCCTCTAGAACAAGGCAGCGTGCCATAGGGGCCTTAACACAATACCTGCTGAGCGAGAGAGGGAGAGAGAACGAATGGAGGAATAGCATAGTCACCGCTTGATTCTCTTCCACCCTACGTGCAGGGTTACCCCTGAGGTGCGAATGACCCCCAAACCCTAAACCCTAAACCCTAAACCCTAAACCCTAAACCCTAAACCCTAAACCCTGAACCCTGAACCCTGAACCCTAAACCCTAACCCCCAAAAAAACAAAAACCAACTCCTTCAGGCCGATCTGCAACTCCACGGTCTCCAAGAACTTGCGCTGCTTCTCCTGTCTTCTGAAGGGGGCTTCGCTTTTGTTTGGGGAGGGGGGCGTTAGGGCTCTTAGGGTCGAGGGTTTTAGGGATAAGACTGGCTTCAGGTTCAGGCTTTTCGGGGGGGTTGGGGTGAGGGTTTCGGGGGGGGGGGGGGGGGGTTAAGGGGTCGCGGCTTAAGGGTTCAGGAGGGGTCATTCCCAACAGCCACATACTGTTGAGCTTCACTTTCGAAAGAAGGGGCCACGATCCAACTTCCAACGAACGGATTCGGAAAAAGGCCGAATATGAAGCTGGGCCTTTGCAGAGGGAATTTAGAAGGGTTTATGGGGAGACAGGTAAGGTGCTAAGCTTTAGGTGCTTGGGGACTTCATCTGGGGTTTAGTTTAGGGTTTTGGATTTGAGGACGTTGGGATGTAGTGCGACATGCGCAAAGAGACATCGGGAAAGAGGGTGCCGGGCGTAGGGCTCAGGGCGGCCCCAAACCCGAAGCCCAAAACCCTAAACCCTGCACCCGAGACCCTAAACCCTGAACCCTGAACCCGAAACCCTAAACCCTAAACCCCAAACCCTAAACCCTAAACCCTAAACCCTACACACTAAACCCTAAACTCTACACCCAACGAAGAGTTCGACTCCAACCCGACCCCGAAGCCTTGCTGCCCTCGAGGATCCCGGCGATGCCTTGGGGCGAGTGTCACTACACCCTAAACCCTAAACCTCAAACCCTAAACCCCAAACCCCAAACCCTAAACCCTAAACCCCAGACCCTAAACCCTAAACCCTAAACCCCAAACCCCAAACCCCAAACCCTAAACCCCTAAACCCTTGAGGGTCTTTGTGGGAATCGAAATCATTGGTAGGGTTTTCGTAGGGCCAGGGCCAGGATTGAGTAATCAAAAGGTTTTGAGGTTCCAACAGCGCAAGGCGCCTTCTGCACCCCCGAAACTCCGGACCTTAACCTGATCCTCAACAGCCCTAAGACACCCTCGCTCCTAACGCCAAAACCCCCCCCCCCCCGGCCCTGCAAACTCTAAACCCTGCAATTCCCAAACCCCGACACTCCAAAAGCTAGCCAAATCCCAAACCCCAGAGTGTCTAAAAACAAAATAAACCCCCTTTAGCCTGTACACCCTATAGGGGATAGCATTAGGGGGACCCTTGAGGATATAGACCCTCTGAATAAGGTCCCTGTTTAAGAGAGCCAGAAGAGGGTTAAGAGCAGGGTCCCCTCTTGAAGGGTCCCCCCTTCTCCTACCTAGGAGCCCGAAGCACCAGGTCCTGCTAGACCCCCAAAACTCCGTGCGGAGGGGCCCTTCTTCAAGTTGTCGATGTTGAGCTTCGACATGCCCCTGAGCATTTAGGGTTCAGGGTTACGGGTTTAGGGTTTGGGGTTTAGGGTTTAGGGTTCAGGGTTAAGGGTTTAGGGTTCAGGGTTAAGGGTTAAGAAGGGTTAAGGGTTAAGGGTTTAGGCGGGATGCCAAACCCCCTTAAACCCTAATCAAACTCCAAACCCTGTACCCGCATTAAGCCCCAAACACTCTTTAACATCAAAAAAACCAAACCCTAAAAGCCAATTAAACCCCTCATAAAATCTTCGGGTAGTTACGTGGTCTCTTAGTATGGGCCGGACCCCTCATATACCGTTACATACCCTATACAAATTCGCCTCGGCTTCCTGCCGAGAAGCGTTTGGAACAAGCAGACACGGATCCCCCCATGCCAAATTTTACCCCCCAGCCCTGTGGGACCCCCCCTGGAGCTGCAAACGGATGCAGTGCACTTACCCCCAGACCGTCTGGGACCATCCCTGTTACCCCCCCCCCCCTTTTTGAGGCCCTCTTTCCTCCTTTCCTGTGATACTTCAGAACCCTAAACCCTAAACCCTAAACCCTAAACCCTAAACCCTAAACCCTAAACCCTAAACCCTAAACCCTAAACCCTCAACCCTATCCCCCAAACCGGGCACCGATGCCTCCACAGGCCGATGCCTCTGCCGCGCTAAGCGCTTACCCTGGGAGCCAAAAACCACAGGTCGCCGGGCGAGGTCGCCTTTAGGCTTCCTCTGTGGCTTGGGGCTTAGGGCTTAGGGCTTAGGGCTTGGGGCTTAGGTTTTAAGTCTTTAGGGCTTTTAGGGCTTTCAGGGCTTAGGGCTTAGGGCTTAGGGCTTAGGGCTTAGGGCTTTAGGGCTTTAGGGCTTTAGGGCTTTAGGGCTTTAGGGCTTTAGGGCTTTAGGGCTTAGGGCTTAGGGCTTAGGGCTTCGGGCTTAGGGCTTAGGGCTTAGGGCTTAGGGCTTAGGGCTTAGGGCTTCGGGCTTAGGGCTTAGGGCTTAGGGCTTAGGGCTTAGGGCTCTTGGGGCTCTTGGGGCTCTTAGGGCTTCGGGCTTCGGGCTTCGGGCTTTAGGGCTTTAGGGCTTTAGGGCTTTAGGGCTTTAGGGCTTTAGGGCTTTAGGGCTTTAGGGCTTTGGGCTTAGGGCTTAGGGCTTAGGGCTTAGGGCTTAGGGCTTAGGGCCTAGGGCTTAGGGCTTAGGGCTTAGGGCTTAGGGCTTAGGGCTTAGGGCTTAGGGTTTAGGGCTTAGGGCTTAGGGCTTAGGGTTAGGCTTAGGCTTTAGGCTTTAGGGCTTAGGGCTTAGGGCTAGGGCTAGGGCTAGGGCTTAGGGCTTAGGGCTTAGGGCTTAGGGCTTAGGGCTTAGGGCTTAGGGCTTAGGGCTTAGGGCTTAGGGCTTAGGGCTTAGGGCTTAGGGCTTAGGGCTTAGGGCTTAGGGCTTAGGGCTTAGGGGTTAGGGGTTAGGGCTTGGGGCTTAGGTTTTAAGTCTTTAGGGCTTTTAGGGCTTTCAGGGCTTAGCTTAGGGGGTTTGAAGGTTGCGGGTTTGAGGGCTTGAGGGCTTGAGAATTGAGGGCTAGGGGGTTTAAGGGAATCAGAAGGATCAAGCCGCTTGCACAGTCTTGGTGTTTATAGGGCCGGAAACTGCAGGGCCACAAATGCCTGGGAGCCCAGGCAGGGTCCCCATATGGGGGTTTCCGAAAACACGCGCTTGCTCTTAAACATGGATTAGTGTTGTCGAAGTTTGGGGGTATAAATAGGGGTACCCAATTTGGGAAATACCGTACTCTTTGAGGCTTAGTTGGAGTGGCAGTTCAGGCAGCAAGTCATTTTAAGCATTCTTGCAGGCCGCCCTACACCCGAAACCCTAAGCCGTAAACCCTAAACATCTAAACGCTGAAAATCCTAGACCCTACATTCTACACCCTAAACCCTGAGCACAGCGCAAGTTTGTCGCGAGGTGCGCGGACGCTCCCGCCAAGTGATGAGACGCTCATGGCCGAGTCCCAAACCCCTAAACCCGAATCTCTAAACCCTAAACGCGTAACCCCTAAACCACTACACCCGAAACCCTAAACAATGAACCCAAGGAAGGTAGGATGGCCAGGGGCCGGGGATACACTGGACCGGAGCTGCGTTTGAAGCGAACCTGCTTCGACCTTAGAGTCGTGCACCTGTGAGGGTGCTTAGGGTTTAGGGTCTAGGGTTTAAGGATTTAGGATTTAGGATTTAGGAGTCTTCAAGAGAGGTTGCGAGGGTTGCAGAGGGTACAGAGGAGTGAGGGTTGAGGGGCTCAAGGTTTTGGGGAAGCTTTGGCTTTAGCTCCCAAACCCCCCACCACCCGGGGCTTGACACCCTGAAGCGCTCCAGACGGAGAAGTTGTCAAAACCAACACTTCTGCCCCCAACGCCTTAGACCCTAAACCCTATAAGTAGAATTGAAGATGCTAAGCACCGAGTCTGAGGAACTTAGAAAATCTGCGGAGGGTCAGGGCTTCGGATTCGGCGTCATGCCTGGGCATGAACATCTTCGGCACAGCTCCCAAAACCCTAAACACCGTTGATGCCGACCCTAAACACCCTCCAGCCCTAAACCCTGAACCCTCAATCCCTAAACCCTAAACCCTAAACCCTAAACCCGAAACCCTAAACCTCACGGAACACAGCTCCGGGGGAAGCTTGACCTTCGAGCACGCCGCTGGAAGGCCAAGTGCTGGGCGTCAGCGCCGCGCCCGGGAGGTCTGCAGGTCGGCCACCCCTCTCGCCCCTAAGAAGGGGTTTAGGGGGTTGAGGGTTGGGGGGTTGGGGGGCTTCGAAGTCTCAACACCCAAAAAAAATCCTGAACCGAGCCCAGCATTCTTGAAAAAAGAGTCCTAGACCCCCAAACCCTAAACCCCACAAAACTTCCCTTCCTTCTCCGAAACTCTAGCCCTGAGCCCTCTTTCAGCTTGACTTCCTGTAGGAGTCTTTAGGGTTTCTGGGTTTGGGGTGCTTCCACACGCAGGGGGTCCTGCACGTGGTTGCGTCCCGCCCCCCACCAGGATATCCCCCCCCACCCTCCTTCCCCTAACCCTAAACCCCCCTTAAACCCGAACCCCCTAAACCCTTAAACCCTGAAAGTTCACACCCTAAACCTTAAACCCGAAACCTGAACAGGGACCGTAAACCCTAACCCTTAAACCTTAAACCTTAAGCCTTAAACCTTAATTTTAAACCTTAAACCTTAGACCGTAAACCCTGACCACACCTCAAGACCACGGGAGCGGAAGATCACACCACGCGGGGGCCGGGGGGGGGGGGGGAGAGCATGGGGGGGGGGGGGGGGGGGGGGGGGGGGGCTGGGGGACGTTGGGGGGACCATGAGAGCTGGGGGACCATGGGCAGGGACCATTGGGGGGCAGGGACCGGGCTCGATCATGCTTATGTTCTATGGTTTAGAGGCCACCAGTTTAGATGCGCCCCTAGATGTGGCCCTGCAGATCCCAGGCGAAGCAACTGCTGAGCTGCCGAGACAAAGCTGATCGGCAGGTTGTTTCGCATTATCGGACCCAAGGTTCAGGGACGAGGGTTTAGGTATACCATGGCATACCTCTCTTAAGCTCAGGGATGTTCAGGGCGAACTCCCCGAAGAGTGCTCTTGAATCTCTGAATACAACACCCTGACATGGTGACACGTGGATCGGCATCCTGGAGAGCCACGCTCCATGCAAGGGTTTAGGGTTTAGGGTTTAGGGTTTAGGGTTTAGGGTTTAGGGTTTAGGGTTTAGGGTTTAGGGTTTAGGGTTTAGGGTTTAGGGTTTATTGTTTAGGGTTTAGGGTTTAGGGTTTAGGGTTTAGGGTTTAGGGTTTAGGGTTTAGGGTTTAGGGTTTAGGGTTTAGGGTTTAGGGTTTAGGGTTGAGGTTTAGAGCTATGGGTCTACGGACGCTAAACCCCAAGCCCCCGCGCAGGCTGTGATGCTGGTGTAGTGATTGGGAAACCCGCACACATAGACACGGACACACTCTGACACACACTGGGGACTACGGGGGTAAGTTCAACACCAAAGCAATTCCGGCCGTGAATTCACGATAGTTCGACCTATGTAGTCCCTACAGAGCTGTTTCTGTCTCTTCTCCTGGGGGGGGGTGGGAAGGGTAAGGTAAAAGCATATAGGAGGGGGGCATTCGGCATTTATTCAACCCGAAACCCTAAACCCCACACCTAGACCCTAAGCCTTAAACAGCAGGGTGAGGAAGCTTGTTGGACGGCTTGCAAGAGCGCATCCCTGGCACCGCTGGTTGCAACGGTCGACGGATGCGCATTCACGTCGGCAGCTGCACAGAGCGGCGGCCTCACTAACATGGGGACAGGTTTTGGGTAGGGGTTCCTGTTTCGAGAAGAAGGATAAGGTTTTGGGCAATAGGATACATATATACTTTTTTCTACTCATATTTATATTTGGACTTATATTTATACTTATATTTATACATATATTTATACTTGATATTTATACTGATGTTTATACTTATACTTATATATTGCATATTTACACCGGATATAGGATGCAAGGTATGGTTTGGCTCGAAATCTGTGGGCCCCGCTTTTGCCGCGCGGGCACCGCTCAGTTCCCCAAGGCTTTGATCTTGGACGAGGTGGCCTGCGTCGTGTTTAGGGTTTACGGTTTAGGGTTTAGGGTTTAGGGTTTAGGGTTTAGGGTTTCGGGTTTCGGGTTTAGGGTTTAGGGTTTAGGGTCCCGGGTTTAGGGTTTAGCCTCCTCGAGCTTTTCCAGCATCTTGTCCAGTTCGCTCTCCTGCAAACAGGGCCGGAAACGCAGCAGGAGCGGACCCCCACCAGGGATAGACTAGATGAGAATGGAGGACACAAGGGCTTGGGTGGAGGACCCCACGGACGCCGGAATCCAAGGCACTATCAACCCCCCCCAACCCCAACAAGCGGCGGAACGGAAACCAAACAAAAAACAACATAAACTCGGCTCAAGCGCGCGCCTTGGAAATCTCATTGATGGCCTTGCCGATGCCCTTCTTCGTCTCGGGGCTGATCTGGCCGTCCTGCTTCCAGTCCTGGCTTCGAAAGTATTTGGGTCAGCTCTCTAAATTTCTGGTCCTTTTTTTGGGTAGACTAAGTAAAAGGGGCCGCCTTATGATAATACCCCTAAAAGGGAGCAGAATTGTGAAGAAGTGACCAGTTGCAGGTTGGGCAAGCTTACCCTGACAAAGGTTGCTCCGGGCTTCGGGCTTCCCTGATGCGAGCCTCGACCTTGCAAATGGCTGTAGAGGGGTTTAAGTTTAGGGAAAAGGGGGGTGAAAGCACGGGTTTTCTAAGGACCCTGTATTTGTTTAGTCGTCGTATGTATACATGTATATGTATACGTATACGTATCCGTATATGTATATGTATATGTACATGTACATGTACATGTATATATGTATCTATATACATATATATATATAGAGAGAGAGAGAGCGGGGTTCCCAATCTCAGAACTTGATCCTTAACCCCAAAAGCCCCCTTCTATCAAGCCACCGGAGTTGATATGTACATCCCCTAAACTATCTACCTATTCATACGTTTCAGAGATTTTGGGGGCTTGAGGGGATGAGGGTTAAGGCGGTTTAGGGGGGGATGAGGGCTAAGGGCTGTTCGTGCCCTAGGTCTCAAGACGCACTTCCCCGTTGTCTTTCCTGGATGGCACCCAGCTGGCGCTCCAGGTCCTGCGGGAGTGAGGGTTTAGGGTTTCAGCTTTTCGGGCTAAGGGAGAAGCAAAAATAAAGGAGCTACACATTGGGTATAAGCAGATTACCACAGTTAGTGGGTCAGCTTAGCCTGCTCCCAGAGCCCTTTTTTAACCCAGCACCAGGCTCTCCAGACCCGAAAGCTTCAAAAGACCCTAAAGCCCCCTAACACCAAAGCGTTGAGTCTTTCAGAGATTTTGGGGTTTCTGTTTAGGATGGCAAAGGGCTTCGGGTTTAGGGCTCAGGGTCTCAAGTTTCAGGGTTTGAGCCCTGTGGCAGCGACCTCGAGCTGCTGGTTCGCACCCGCCATGTGGTGTAAGAGGTCCTGGTGCAAGAGGTTGCACATTTCTCAACCCTAAAACCCTAGATCCCTAAAATCCTAGAGCCCAAAACCCTAAAACACTAAAAACCCTAACGACCCGAAGCCCTAAAACCCTCAAGCCTTACATCCGAAAAACCGCACCTTCCTAGACTCAGTACCCATCCGTACCCCACGCTCCGCAGTGAAATCTTTCCCCCAAACAGTTGCGCCGAACTTCTTCAATTCCGAAGCCCTCAGACCTTCACCCTAAAGCCCAACCCACAGTCCTAGAAACCCGGCACAGGGACACAAACCAACCATTCCGCACCCCTAACGAGATTCGGAGGGGCCAAGAGCCCTAAGCGCCAAAGCCTACACAATAATTCAACCCCAAAACGGTTCAGGGACTGAGGTCTACGAGAGCGTCCTCGCTGCCAGAGTCCTCCAACTGGTTGTGGACTTCCTTTGGTGTTAAGAGTTGTGATTCTTTGGGTTTAGGCGGGGGGGGGGGGGTTTAGAACCTCTAAACCATACGCCCTCAGCCCTCAACCGCGGTTTTCAGCTTCAGAGTTTGGGGACTCAGCTGCACCAGTCTGGGGCAGCGTTCAGGGGAACTGGCGTTAGTAATATGGCAAAAAAATAAGCCCCATCAAGCCCTGGACCCTCAACTCTCATCCCTGAACCCGTCTGAGTTCTAGTGACCCGCCCGGGGCCTTGTAGAGGTCCAGTCTCGGGACGGTCCGATACAGCCAGAGTTCCGTGAGCTGCTGGGCGTTACTGGTGAGCGGGGCCGACATTGAACTTCCACGGTTTTGGGTTTTCGGTGCTGGCTTAGGGCTTCAGGGCTTGTAAGGTTTACAGCTTAGTGTTTCGAAAGTTTGAGGGCTAGGGAAAGAGGGAGAGAGGGAAAGAGGGAGAGAGGGAGAGAGCGAGAGAGGGAGAGAGGGAGAGAGGGAGAAAAGGAGAGAGGGAGAGAGGGAGAGAGGGAGAGAGGGAGAGAGGGAGAGAGGGAGAGAGGGAGAGAGGGAGAGAGGGAGAGAGGGAGAGAGGGAGAGGGGTATCGCTATCGCAGCGCTCTCGTTTAGGGTTCTCAGGTTAAGGTCAAAAGGACATTAGGGCTTCTAAGGTTAGGGTTCAGAGACGGTTGCCACGGGGGGGAGGGGTTGAGCGTTAGTGGGCTTCAGGCTCTGTGGGTTTAATGTAGGGCGCTGTGTCGCTTTTGGGATCTAGGGCTTGGGGTCTAGGTAGGGTAAAACGGGGTCTTGGGTTTGTTTGGTGGTTAGGGCTTATTTTTTTTCTGTCTTTATAATCTTTTGTCTTTGTAATCTTTCTTTCTGCTTTTTTTGGGAGGGGGCTTGGGTTAGGGTCTGGCGCTTAGCGGTTGGGGCTCCAGGCTACTTCGGGTCCGGGGCTTGAGGTTTGAGGCTTGCAAGGTCTAGGGCTCAGGGCTTGGGTTTGGGGTTTGGGGCTTGGACCTTTAAGGTTCAGGGCTTAGGTTTAGGGTGTTGGGTTTGGGGGGTCCACTCCTGGACTTCTCACAGCTCCATCCTAAATCCTTCAACCCTACACACTCAGAAAGACCGACAATTTGAACTAACATCTTGTATTTCCTTCATTTTGGCGGGTGCGGGGAGGGGTTTCGGGCTTTGGGTTTAGGCTTTGACTTGAGGACCCCAACCAGAAACCCCAAACCCTCAACAAGGCTCTGGGAGTTTATGACTCTCAGGCTTTGTCATGGTTCCCCTTTTACCCCCCCTCTCTTCTACCCCCACTAGGTTCCCCCATGCTTAAGGCTTTTTAGGGATAATTAAGCCGCATTTGGGTTTTTCAACCTGGGGGGTAGTAGGGGAACCCCTGACTTTGGGGCACAAAGGTTCACAGAAGCCTCCAGAACTCTGTCATCTTCTCGCGCTGCTTCTCCACTTGCTCGTTTTGTCGGGCAAGCTCCTGGTGGAGTAACTCTAAACCCTAAACCCGAAACCCTAAACCCTAAACCCTAAACCCTAAACTTCAGGGTTTAGGTTTCGGGTTGCTTTAAGGACCTCTTGAAAAAACCTTGGGCAGGCCCCTGTTGGCAGGAGCCCTTAGAGGAAATACAACATATGAGCTTGGACGCCAAAGACTCTCCTAAATCCTTCGGGACCCCCCATGGACCCTAAGCTCCGAGCCTAAAACAGGCCCCCCACTTCCCTCAAAAAAGGTGCACTTCGAAATACCGCGAATTGGGGGATAGCATTGAAAGTCTGCCTCTGGCGTCCGTGGCGGCACCTTGGCCATCAACTCCAGGTGCTTGCCGCCATGACCCCAAAACCCCCCAATTCGCGGCCATTAGCGAGCAGAAAGCAAGTACCAGCCTGCAGCCTTTAATTTCTCGATTTTTGTTGCTTGGAATGGGTACCCCCCCTCGCCGACGGGTGCGGGAGCAGACGGCGCATCAGGACCAAGGGTCGTATCTTCGTGTCTTCGTGACCGCAGCACCCACGATTCCCACAGTTTCGGGTTGCCTCCCGGCGGGTCGCATGGCAGTAAGAATTGGACCCTAAACCGAAAAAACCCACAACAAAAACCAGAGGCCCCCAATCCCCACAAGCACCCCAAGAACCTGAAAGCCCCCCAGAGGCTCACAAAAAAAAACCTTGAAGCCCCTTCCAGAAGGCCATCAAGGTCGGGAAATTAAGGGGGGCCTGAACCCTAAACCCTAAACCCTAAACCCTCAACCCAGGCATACTCGCCTTCACCTCGCGCTCTAGCTGCTGGATAATGTCCAGCTCCTGCAGCAGATGACAGGGCTTCCGGCGTGGGATTCACGGATTTGGGAGATCAGAGTTTGCAGTCTGTATGGTTTGGGATTCAGCGCTTGTGACTCAAAGTTTTAGACAAGTCAGGGAAGTAGTCCCCGCCCCATACATCCTGAAGCCTAAACCTTCATCTGCGACGCCCTGAATGCGTGGAATTTAAGGGCTACCCCCCCCCCCTCACCCCCCGCGGACAAAGTAGGACATTTCAAGGCAAAGGAACCGAGCTTAGTGGCGAGGGTGAACCCCGAAACTTGAAGGAAGAGAACGGCGATGAAACTTGTCGCACAATCGTGAAGCAGTTGGTTAATACAGAAGCCTAAGACTCACCAACACTTTCCTCTTACAAACCCGAACGAATTGCCCAAGCCTCCCATTGCCGTTCTCAAATTCAATAGGCCCACATACTACATGAGAGCAGGGCAGAGCTATTCTGTATGAGCGCAAGGGCATCCTTCGCTGTGAGCCACGCAAGGGAAGAAAAGCCGCGCGTGCAACAAAACTTGGATTTCACGGGTGATTCACCGTGACATGGGCGTGGGTTCTACTGACTGTTGAGCCCCTGTCTCGTAGAATGGCATAGCACAAGACACATCGAAACGCCCAACAAGTGACAAACTCCATCAACAGGTTGAGTTTTGAGGCAACTGCCTGGTAGTATCTCTTACCCATGACACTGGGCCCTCAGCCCGAAGCCCCCTGCAACCACTTTTGAGGACTTGGCATCTCCCAGCCCGAAGGCCTCCAGCGGACCGCCCTTAAACAAAAAGATGCAGCGAAACCCCCCCCTAAAAAACTCCCCGACAAACACCTCCTGTTTAGGGTTTAGTGCTCCCAGGAGCCAACAGCTCCCTACAGCCGAAAGCCCTGAGCCGCCCTTAAACCTGTAAAGTCGTGGTTGGTCCTCGAACCGGTAGAGCATCACCAGCAAGCACATCTGCCGGGTCCGCAGGTGAGAGGGTGGGTTTAGGTAGGGTTAGGGGATCTCCAACCCTCGATCACCCGAACTTGGACTCTGAGCCCTGGCCGGTTAAACAAGCCTGAGGCGTCAGCCTTTCGCCAAGCCCCCTCCCCTCCCCTAAACGCTTAGACTTGGTTTCGGGGGCTCAGGCACCAGGATCCCGATAAAAACCCTAAACCCTTAAGCCCTTAAACACTTAAACCCTTAAACCCTTAAACCCTTAAACCCCTAAACCCTAAAACCCTTAAACCCTGCCAGGAGACCTTCATTTGCATCTGGGGTTGCTTTAGGATCGATCGCTTGGAAGCTGGGCTTGTGCCTCTGCGACGACCAGGTCCAGCACGCTCACGAACATGGCAAAGAACTGCCTGCGGCGGAAGTGGGGGCTTGGAGTTTAAGGGTTTCGGGTTTCGGGTTTGGGGTTCGGGGTTAGGGTTTCGGGTTTCGGGTTTCGGGTAAAAGGTTCACAATTCTGTTGGCCTTACGAGAAGAGCCCTCCCATTCCTAAACTCCAAACCAACCTAAGTGCTGGAAACAGCAGACGCCCTGCAGCTCGTCTAGGTTGAGATTCGGGCGCGCTCAGATTCACTAACTTGTTCTGAACAAAACCTAACCCTAAACCCTAAACCCCCCTCAAACCCTAAACCCTAAATGCACACACACACACACACCCTAAACCCCAAACCCTAAAACTTAGACCCTCAACCTGCCAAATCGGGCTTCTTTGACCGCACTGACCTGGAAACTCCTGCACATCTAGCATCTTCGTCTCATGGGTTTGGGGTTTAGGATTTGGGGTTGACACCCTGTTACCTGTTTCCCTGTTTCCCCGTAGAGGTTTGGGGGTATTGGGCCACCTGGAGATTATCGAAGAGCAAGCCCCACAGCAAAACCCAGAACAGCCAAAACAAACTAGGGGTTGAAGGGTTTAGGGGTTTGGGGCTTAACTTAGGCTTCTAAGGCCCCTTTGCACTTCCCAAGCCGGAACCATTGTGGAGGCACCCATCTCGTCTCGCCATGCAGTAGATGTCGTACCTGCTTGAAGGCTCATGGGTCCCTAAACCCTAAACCCTCAACCCTAAACCCTAAACCCTAAACCCTAAACCCTAAACCCTAAAAGGTTGCAAGTGCCTCTCAAAAACGTTATTTGGCAGCTGCTAGCCTGCTTACGCCCATTTACTGGCGCATGCCGAGGTTTTGGGCGTAAGAGCTTAAATTTACAAGCTACCGCTGGATCCTCCCCTCCCCCAAATGTTCACCCATTCCTCACTCATGCCGACAGTTCCCATTGAGGTATGAGAGTAATCTGCGTGGCCGAGAGAGAGAGTTTGTGGCGCTTGCGAAGCTCCATCTCAGCAGCTTGCGAAGCTGGAAACTTCCGATCCGTGTCGGGATCCTATGATATAGCCACGGTGCCCTTGACTGGCTGGCCATAAACCCGAAAGATTAGAGAGACTTAATGAAGGAATGAATGAATGAATGAATGAATGAATGAGTGAATGAGTGAATAAATGATAAGTAATTAGTTAAATAAAGTATATGAAGAAGAATGATCATAAACTAATCCCAATGACTCAGGAACCCTGAGCCCCAAACCCTTCGAACCCAGAGCCAGGGCACACTATCAACATCAGCCCCGTCAAGATGCCAATCAGCAGCTTGGCCTCTGCGAGGTTTGAGGGGTGTAAAATGGGAGGAAGGGGGGAAGGGGGGTATAAGGGGGGTATAAGGGGGGTATGAGGGGGGTATAAGGGGGGTACAAGAGGGGGGGGTTACAAGATAAGTTATGCTGTGGAGTTTTAGGGCTTTGGGGTTTCGGCAGCGGCAAGGATTCTGCGTTGAAAGGTCTTCGAGGCATCCGTTGTATGGGGGGAGCTTAGAGGGTTCGCCTTCAGGATTTAGGGTTCAAGGTTCGGGGTCTAGATTCGGGCTGGGGTTGGAGGATCTGCTGCGGATGGTTAAGGTTTACGCAATTGCTTCTGACGCAATTGCCTCTGAACGCTGCGGCATCAGGCTTTAAAGCAAAGGTCTTAGTGGGGTCTCCGAAACTATCTGAAAGCTGCTTCTTCTTAATTGGGTCTTAGAGACGGAGGACACCGACAGATCGAATCCTAGAATTTGCATTAAATTATCGCGCCCCAAACCCAAAACCCTAAAGCTCTTGGTACCTCCCTAAACTTAACGCAGGGCATTTGGGGCCCCTGCGTCTTCAGTTCCGGCTTAGACGCTAAACCCTGAACCCTGAAGCCTAAGCCCTCAGCCCTAAACCCTAAACCCTAAACGGGTTCAGGGCCGAAGTTTTGGGTGAGTCTGGGGAGCCCCGCATGCTCGAAGGAGAGAATTATGAGGTGGCCGCAGAAGCAGCGGATCTCCTTGGGGTAGGAGTCCTCCCAAGAAGCAGCTTCGGGTTTAGGGTTTAGGGTTTAGGGTTTAGGGTTTAGGGTTTAGGGTTTGGGGTTTGGGGTTTGGGGTTTGGGGTTTGGGGTTTGAGGTTTGGGGTTTGGGGTTTGGGGTTTAGGGTTTGGGGTTTAGGGTTTGGGGTTTGGGGTTTGGGGTTTGGGGTTTGGGGCAGTTTGTGGTTCAGCGTTTTTCGGGGCAGACAACAAGGCGGGAGGCTGCTTTGGAGGATTTAGGGAGTCTTAGGGCCAAGAGATAGAGGGCTCAGGGCCCTTCTTATTCCAAAAACATGAACTTCCCTGAGCCCCAAGCCCACACCGCAGCAAATTTTTGTAGGTCTTTGCAGCTATTCTATGGGACCCTAAACCCTAAACCCTACACCCCAAACCCTAAACCCTAAACCCCAGAGCTCCCAGAGCTGATAGTGGCTTTCGGCTTTAGGGTAGGACCCTAGAACCCCACAGCCCCCCAAACCATGAAGCCCCAAAAGGACCCCCGGCTTAGGGTGAGCTGAAAGTTATGTGTGTGTGTGTGTGTTGCTGGGGATTAGGGTTTGAGGGCTTTAGGGCGTTAGGCGGCAAAGGGTTTTGGGTTCTAGGGCAAAGGCGCAAGTGGCCCAAACTCAATCCCCCCCCCAAAACAATCACCCAAACAATGCCCCCCACCCCCGACCCTCTGCGCGGTGCTTGGTCCTTCGTCTCGCTACTTTTGATGTAGAACTGACGCGGCCTGGGCAGGGGTGGCTCCGAAACCTGAACCCTAAGCCCTAAACCCTCAACACACTTGGCAAAACAGGAAGCTCATGAAAGCTTTACGGCTTCAGGACCTTAAGGTTTGACGGGCTTTGGAGCTCATCAAGTGTACGAGAATAAGAGAGGCTTCTTGGCTTAAGAGACCTTGTTGGAATTGGGCATCGGGGCTTTTTGGGCAACCAAGCTTCGGTTTGCTGTTCATGCTGCTGGAAGGCCGAGGGGCATGGGATTCTCAGATTTTTCGGGGCCTCTCAAACCTAAACCCTCACCACCCTAAACACCCCCTAAACCCAAAAACCCTAAACCCCAAACCCTAAACCCTAAACCCCAAACCCCAAACCCCAAACCCTAAACCCTAAACCCCCAAACCCCCAATCCCCCAACCCGTTGAAGCCCTGGGCTGGGCCCAGGGACCCGCCCAGCTGCAGCCAGGAGAGGCGGCCCTTGCGGGATCCTTGGGGGTACGGGTTTGAGGGTTTGAGGGGTTTAGGGTTCTAGGGTTTTAGGGGGTGTAGGAGGGTTTATAGGGTTTGGGGTTTAAGAGTTTCGGGTTTCGGGTTCAGGGTTTAGGGTTTAGGGTTGAAGGTTCCGGGTTTGGGGTTTAGGGTTTAAAGGGGCTTCGGACTTGGGGCTCGTGGGCGTTTGGGTTTTGGGGCTTAGCGGCTTATAGGGGTGTAGGGTTTAAGTGGGCTTTAGGGGTTTAAGGGAGCTTTAGGGGTTTCGCGTTTTAGGGTTTAGGTTAGGGTCTTGCGTTTTGGGTATTAAGGGGCTTGGGGGTTATAGAGCTTAGGTTGTGAGAAGCCATGTACCCGAAACTAGTGGCTTCGGCCAATCTTTCACCAGGGCGAAGGGTGGCGGGGGGGAGCGGGGCACCCCTTGCTGCAGGAAGTTAGAAAGAGTTTCGGATTTAGGGTTAAACCCTAAACCCTAAACCCCAAACCCTCAACCCTAGACAGCGCGGGGTGCCCAAACGGGACCATGATCTTGAGAACTGACCATGCATGCACTCACTCACATACATTTCTAAGGAACCTTGTATACACTCACAACAACCATAAGCAAAACCGATGCACCTCTAAAGCCCGATACCCCCACAACCCCATAAACATCCACAAACATCCCGTAAAGCTGTCTCAACGCCTGCCACAAGAAAACTATGAGAACATCTCTCTTTGCAAACGAAAGCCATCAGGTGGCCTCCAAAAAAAAGCCCTAAAACCTTCAAAACCTAAACCCCAAACCCCGAAACCCTGAACACCCAACATCCCCGCAAACCCCAAACATCCCCCAAAAACTCTAAACCCTAAATGCACACTAAACCCTAAACTCCCCTAAACCCCTAAGGCCTCTAAACCTCGAAAACCCTTCACATCCCCAAACCCTAAACCCTAAATGTACATCAAACCCCAACTCCCCTAAACCCCTAAAGCCTCTAAACCCCGAAACCCCTAGCATCCCCCGAAAGCCTAAACCCTAAACCCTAAACCCTAAACCCCAAACCCCAAACCCTAAACCCTACAAACTTCCCCAAACCTCCAGCCCAGCCCAGTGCGGCTCAAGGGGCTCTGGCCCAGGCTGGCAGAGGACGAGGCGGGCGCTGGCAGCTCAAGCCTCGCAAAGGGCGCCAGTGCCTTTTTAAGGCAGATTTCTGAGTTTAGGGTTTAGGGTTTGGGCTTTGGGGTTTAGGGTTTAGTCGGGTTTCGGGTTTCGGGTTTCGGGTTTGGGGTTTGGGGTTTGGGGTTTGGGGTTTGGGGTTTGGGGTTTGGGGTTTGGGGTTTGGGGTTTGGGGTTTGGGGTTTGGGGTTTGGGGTTTGGGGTTTAGGGTTTGGGAAATGAGGGGTTTGGCATGTTAGGGGTGTTGTGGCTGCAGGATGTGAGGAATTTAGCGAAACTGTGCTTTATTGGTTGCAGGCCCCTAATGAAACCCCTGAACCCCTTCAACTCCCCTTCAGCTCCCGAAACGGCTCCCCTGTAACTTCTGAAGCCCCTGACCCTCCGGGCCCCTAGCAGCCGCGTGTGCCGCGCTTCCGTCTGCGTCATTCTTCGGAGGTCGTTCTTGTTCTTCCTCAGGAGCTGCGCGTCCTGTGCCGGGCTGGGTTAGTTCGGGTTAGGGGGGGGTTCGGGGTTCGGGGCTCGGGGTTTGGGGTTGGGGGTTAGGTAGGGGTTTGGGCTTAGTTAGGCGTTATGGGTTAAGGGTCCCCGAAAACCCTAAAGCGCCTGAAGCTCTAAGCTTTAAGTGCTGTAGATATGTTCTGCGCCGCCCTTGCCAAGTTAACAGCTCCGGTTTTGGTCTGGGACCGAGGCTTCCAGTAGCCAAAGCGAGATGCAGCGCACTGTCCTGGTCTCTCTGGGTGCTGATGAAGCGTACCTCCAACAGCACAGGGCCCTCAAGTTAAGGGTTCAGAGTTTGGAGCTTACTTAGAGTTTTCTGGTTTAGGATATGGGGCTCATTGAGGGTGCCAGGGTCTGGATCAAACTCGGCTACTGTTGCTGCGAATGCCGGTGATGGTCAGGGGATTGGGAAGCCGACAAGGCCCGGTGCAGCTCCAATGATGCGTGGGTTCAAGACTTAGAGTCTCAAGCGGGGTTGGGGTCTCAAAGCCCTGGCCAGCTCTCAGCTGATGCTCCTTTTGCTCCGGGGTTTGGGTGGCAAAACGCCGGGCTAGCTACAACTGATGCTCATGATGCTCCAAGCCCGTGCTAGCTCCAATCATACGCGTTAGGTATGTGTGCGTGTGTGGGTGCACGCAGCTTTGTAATAGTACAGCTGTGCCGTAAACTATGTTTAACGAGACATGTTGTTGGTTAGCAGCCGTGCTGGGAATGCGGGGCATGTCAATCGGCTGATGTTTTCGCCACCGCTCAGGACTCGCTGTACGAAGCAAGTTGAGGCTTTAGGGTTTTGGGGCGTGTTTCGTGCGGAACCGCAAACACAGACATGGTGAAAGATAAAGCACAGAGTTGCCGCACAAGCTACCGATTTTCTGCTGAACCGTAACCCACCTCTTGGGCAAAAAGGTTTGGGCTATGCATCTGCGCATGGCCTGTTTGACCAGAAGACGAAACCTGCCTGCCCCGGCCCCGGGCCCCCTCCCCCCCCGCTGATGTCACTCCTCGAAAAACGCAGCCCAATCGTCGCCAGATCCAAACATCACCTGATACAGCTCACGTCCGGCCCTCCTTTCAGAGTCAATGCCTCAGCGCACGAAGCTGGTATGTTGCGGTGTTCCCAGCTTCCATCAGGAAACCGTGCGAACCAGCCACCGATGGAAGACATGGAAACGTATTCTGGGGATTCCTCGCTCGACTCGAGAAGGCGGTCAAGAGATCGGGGCACCCGTAACCATGTGGTCGAGCCGTCCTCGCGTCTCAACCAATAGCCGCCATCGGGAGAAAATGCCACGGCCTCTACTGCTGGCCCCTGTCTGACAGCCTTACTGAAAGAACGGGACGCGCCGTCCCAGATTTGATTTCCCTGCTCGAACGCGATGAAATACCGGCCATCGCTGCCACAAAAAACCTTGGATGGGTCATTATCTGACTCTTGCAGCTCCTCTTCAATCGCATCATGCATATCATCTGGCATGCCTCTGTACTTCCATGAACCATCTGACCTAAACAGGAAGTATCCAGGCTCGTCAAGATTCAACGCCAAGCAATCAGGCTCATCACTCTCTGGATCATAGGAATCCAGCAGCGACTGCTCTATTCTACCATCAGAGATGCATACCCAAAGTTTCCAAGAGCTAGACGATGAGGACGTGTCGCTTTGCAGGTTCAATTGCGGCTGACCTCGGACGCGAACCGAGACTCCCATGTTGTCCGTCGTGAACCTGTTGCGTGGGATTTGTTGGTTGGCAACCTGGACTTTGATGGTGCGGAGGAAGCCCTTGGTCTCCAGGCTCTTGAACACCCAAAGGCGCCGGTTCCCGTTGTATGCAAACCAGAGGTCACCAACTCTTGTGACTTTCATGAGGGGGATGACACTGATGTGAGTGCGTCCAGACTCCAGCTCTGCCAGTGTGTTGATCAACAATCTGCCGCAGCTGAATCGGTGGCTTATAGAGTCATGGGAGAACCTCACATTGCTCGGCCGTATGTCCATGATGCAAGCAAAGTTGCTAGATCGAACTCACGCACAGCCCGTTCAATTGGCAGGCGCAAAAGCCTGGACAAAAAGAAAACACGGCCGGGAACCTATAAGCCAAGGTCTTCTTACAATGCCAAGCCTGTCTGAACGCCTAGCATTTCAGAGACCTGTGCCGAAGTTTGATCCTGGAATGCACCGGGAGGGAAGCGAACATAGACTTGCAGCATAGACTGCAGAAGCGGTAGCCTTCACGGAAAAAAACCCTGTCGTAAGTTCATGTCAAATCGCACTGCGTGTGGTCTGCATTTAGGGCTTCAACCTCTAACATTATGGGGATGCGTTCCCTGATTTTCTATGTGCTCTGGGCTCTGCCTCCAGTCTAAAGCGAAATCACTGATAAACTAAAGGCAATGAACAGCCTACCGGTGGCCCCGCAAACTGTGGGAAGCTGGGAACTGGCTTGGGTTCGAGACCCCAAGCCCCCGGGAGCTGGCCCGGGTTTGAAACCCCAACCCCCGAGCATCATGAGCATCAGCTAGGAGCTGGCCCGGGTTTGAAACCCCAACCCCCGAGCATCATGAGCATCAGCTGGGAGCTGGCCCGGGTTTGAAACCCCAACCCCCGAGCATCATGAGCATCAGCTGGGAGCTGCCCGGCTTTGAAACCCCAACCCCCGAGCATCATGAGCATCAGCTAGGAGCTGGCCCGGGTTTGAAACCCCAACCCCCGAGCATCATGAGCATCAGCTGGGAGCTGGCCCGGGTTTGAAACCCCAACCCCCGAGCATCATGAGCATCAGCTGGGAGCTGCCCGGCTTTGAAACCCCAACCCCCGAGCATCATGAGCATCAGCTAGGAGCTGGCCCGGGTTTGAAACCCCAACCCCCGAGCATCATGAGCATCAGCTGGGAGCTGGCCCGGGTTTGAAACCCCAACCCCCGAGCATCATGAGCATCAGCTGGGAGCTGCCCGGCTTTGAAACCCCAACCTAGGAGCTGGCCCGGGTTTGAAACCCCAACCCCGAGCATCACGTGCGTCAGCTGGGTGCTGCGAGCGTCAGCTGGGTGCTGGCCCGGGTTTGAAACCCCAACCCCCGAGCATCATGAGCATCAGCTGGGAGCTGGCCCGGGTTTGAAACCCCAACCCCCGAGCATCATGAGCATCAGCTGGGACCTGGCCCGGGCTTGAAACCCCAACCCCGAGCATCATGAGCGACAGCTGGGAGCTGCCCGGCTTTGAAACCCCAACCCCCGAGCATCATGAGCATCAGCTAGGAGCTGGCCCGGGTTTGAAACCCCAACCCCGAGCATCACGTGCGTCAGCTGGGTGCTGCGAGCGTCAGCTGGGTGCTGGCCCGGGTTTGAAACCCCAACCCCCGAGCATCATGAGCATCAGCTGGGAGCTGGCCCGGGTTTGAAACCCCAACCCCCGAGCATCATGAGCATCAGCTACGAGCTGGCCCGGGTTTGAAACCCCAACCCCGAGCATCACGTGCGTCAGCTGGGTGCTGCGAGCGTCAGCTGGGTGCTGGCCCGGGTTTGAAACCCCAACCCCCGAGCATCATGAGCATCAGCTGGGAGCTTGCCCGGGTTTGAAACCCCAACCCCCGAGCATCATGAGCATCAGCTGGGACCTGGCCCGGGCTTGAAACCCCAACCCCGAGCATCATGAGCGACAGCTGGGAGCTGGCCCGGGTTTGAAACCCCAACCCCGAGCATCATGAGCATAAGCTGGGAGCTGGCCCGGGTTTGAAACCCCAACCCCCGCGCATCACGTGCGTCAGCTGGGTGCTGCGAGCGTCAGCTGGGTGCTGGCCCGGGTTTGAAACCCCAACCCCCGAGCATCATGAGCATCAGCTGGGAGCTGGCCCGGGTTTGAAACCCCAACCCCCGAGCATCATGAGCATCAGCTGGGAGCTGCCCGGCTTTGAAACCCCAACCCCCGAGCATCATGAGCATCAGCTAGGAGCTGGCCCGGGTTTGAAACCCCAACCCCCGAGCATCATGAGCATCAGCTGGGACCTGGCCCGGGCTTGAAACCCCAACCCCGAGCATCATGAGCGACAGCTGGGAGCTGCCCGGCTTTGAAACCCCAACCCCCGAGCATCATGAGCATCAGCTAGGAGCTGGCCCGGGTTTGAAACCCCAACCCCCGAGCATCATGAGCATCAGCTGGGAGCTGCCCGGCTTTGAAACCCCAACCCCCGAGCATCATGAGCATCAGCTAGGAGCTGGCCCGGGTTTGAAACCCCAACCCCCGCGCATCATGAGCATCAGCTGGGTGCTGGCCCGGGTTTGAAACCCCAACCCCGAGCATCATGAGCATCAGCTGGGAGCTGGCCCGGGTTTGAAACCCCAACCCACGAGCATCATGAGCATCAGCTGGGAGCTGGCCCGGGTTTGAAACCCCAACCCCCGAGCATCATGAGCATCAGCTGGGTGCTGGTCCGGGTTTGAAGCCCCAACCCCCGAGCATCATGAGCATCAGCTGGGTGCTGGCCCAGGCTTGAAACCCCAACCCCGAGCATCATGAGCATCAGCTGGGAGCTGGCCCGGGTTGAAACCCCAACCCCCGAGCATCATGAGCATCAGCTGGGAGCTGGCCCGGGTTTGAAACCCCAACCCCAACATCATGAGTATCAGCTGGGAGCTGGCCTGGAGCATCATGAGCATCAGCTGGGAGCTGGCCCGGGTTTGAAACCCCCAACCCCCGAGCATCATGAGCATCAGCTGGGTGCTGGCCCGGGTTTGAAACCCCAACCCCCGAGCATCATGAGCATCAGCTGGGTGCCGGCCCAGGCTTGAAACCCCAACCCCGAGCATCATGAGCATCAGCTGGGAGCTGGCCCGGGTTGAAACCCCAACCCCCGAGCATCATGAGCATCAGCTGGGAGCTGGCCCGGGTTTGAAACCCCAACCCCGAGCATCATGAGCATCAGCTAGGAGCTGGCCCGGGTTTGAAACACCAACCCCCGAGCATCATGTGCTGGCCCGGGTTTGAAACCCCAACCCCCGAGCATCATGAGCATCAGCTGGGAGCTGGCCCGGGTTTGAAACCCCAACCCCGAGCATCATGAGCATCAGCTGGGTGCTGGCCGGGGTTTGTAACCCAACCCCAGAGCATTTGAAACCCCAACCCCCGGGCATCATGAGCATCAGCTGGGAGCTGGCCCGGTTTTGAAACCCCCACACCCGAGCATCATGAGCATCAGCTGGGAGCTGGCCCGAATTTGAACCCCAACCCCGAGCATCATGAGCATCAGCTGGGTGACCTTGAGCATCATGAGCATCAGCTGGGAGCTGGCCCGGGTTTGAAACCCCAACCCCCGAGCATCATGAGCATCAGCTGGGTGCTGGCTGCGGGTTTGAAACCCCACGCCCCGAGCATCATGAGCATCAGCTGGGAGCTGGCCCGTGCTTGAAACGCCAACCCTCCAGCATCATGAGCATCAGCTGATTTTAATAGATGGAATGTTGATTTTGTGGTTGCATGTAGTAATGGTTGGCCTTATATATTTGTTGTTACAAAAAGAGATATACAACCAAATGAAATATTAATGATGGAGTCAAAATGCAAGTCGAGTGAAGTCGTTGGAGCCGAGTCGTTTCGAGCTCATATTCCTACAATAATGTCTTCAAAAAATGAGAAAAAGGTCATCCGTCGGGATTGTCATATCCATTTTCTCAAATAATACAACCAGAACATGAGTCTATTGCCAGTTTGTGTAAATTCTGTAAAAAACCTTCAGAGAAATCCCCGAGCATCATGAGCATCAGCTGGGAGCTGGCCTGGAGCATCATGAGCATCAGCTGGGAGCTGGCCCGGGTTTGAAACCCCCAACCCCCGAGCATCATGAGCATCAGCTGGGTGCTGGCCCGGGTTTGAAACCCCAACCCCCGAGCATCATGAGATCAGCTGGGAGCTGGTCCGGGTTTGAAACCCCAACCCCCGAGCATCATGAGCATCAGCTGGTGCTGGCCCGGGCTTTCAGACCCACACCCCCGAGCATCATGAGCATCAGCTGTGAGCTGGCCCGGGTTTGAAACCCCAACCCCGAGCATCATGAGCATCAGCTGGGAGCTGGCCCGGGTTTGAAACCCCAACCCCCGAGAATCATGAGCATCAGCTGGGAGCTGGCCCGGGTTTGAAACCCCAACCCCCGAGCATCATGAGCATCAGCTGGGAGCTGGCCCGGGTTTGAAACCCCAACCCCCAAGCTTCATGAGCATCAGCTGGAAGCTGGCCCAGGTTTGAAACCCCAACCCCCGAGCATCATGAGCATCAGCTGTGAGCTGGCCCGGGTTTGAAACCCCCAACCCCCGAGCATCATGAGCATCAGCTGGGAGCTGGCCCGGGTTTAAAACCCAACCCTCGAGAATCATGAGCATCAGCTGGGAGCTGGCCGGGTTTGCATGAACATCAGTGGGAGCTGGCCCGGGTTTGAGACCCCAACCTCCGAGCATCATGAGCATCAGCTGGAAGCTGGCCCGGGTTTAAACCCATCAGCTGGAAGCTGGCCCGGGTAACCCCAACCCCCGAGCATCATGAGCATCAGCTGAGAGCTGGCCCGGGTTTGAAACCCCAACCTCCGAGCATCATGAGCATCAGCCGGAAGCTAGCCCAGGTTTGAAACCCCAACACCCGCGCATCATGAGCATCAGCTGGGAGCTGGCCCGGGTTTGAAACCCCAACACCCGAGCATCATGAGCATCAGCTAGAAGCTGGCCCAGGTTTGAAACCCCAACACCCGAGCATCACGAGCATCAGCTGGGAGCTGGGCCGGGTTTGAAACCCCAACACCCGAGCATCATGAGCATCAGCTGGGTGCTGGCCCGCGTTTGAAACCCCAACACCCGAGCATCATGAGCATCAGCGAGCTGGCCCGGGTTTGAAACCCCAACCCCCGAGCATCATGAGCATCAGCTGGGTGCTAGCCCGGGCTAGAAACCCCACACCCGCGAGCATCATGAGCATCAGCTGGGAGCTGGCCCGGGTTTGAAACCCCAACCCCCGAGCATCATGAGCATCAGCTGGGAGCTGGCCCGGGTTTGAAACCCCAACCCCCAAGCTTCATGAGCATCAGCTGGAAGCTGGCCCAGGTTTGAAACCCTACCCCCCGAGCATCATGAGCATCAGCTGGGAGCTGGCCCGGGTTTGAAAACCCCACCCCCGCGCATCATGAGCATTAGCTGGGAGCTGGCCCGGGTTTGAAACCCTAACCCCCGAGCATCATGAGCATCAGCTGGAAGCTGGCCCGGGTTTGAAACCCCCGAGCATCATGAGCATCAGCTGGGAGCTGGCCCGGGTTTGAAACCCCAACACCCGAGCATCATGACGTCAGCTGGGAGCTGGCCCGGGTTTGAAACCCCAACCCCCAAGCTTCATGAGCATCAGCTGGAAGCTGGCCCAGAGCATCATGAGCATCAGCTGGGAGCTGGCCCGGGTTTGAAACCCCCACCCCCGAGCATCATGAGCATCAGCTGGGAGCTGGCCTGGGTTTGAAACCCCGAACTGGCCCGGGTTTGAAACCACCACCACCGAGCATCAGAGCATCATGAGCAGCTGTGCAACCCCCGAGCATCATGAGCATCAGCTGGGAGCTGGCCCGGGTTTGCAACCCCCGAGCATCATGAACATCAGTGGGAGCTGGCCCGGGTTTGAGACCCCAACCTCCGAGCATCATGAGCATCAGCTGGAAGCTGGCCCGGGTTACCCCAACCCCCGCATCATGAGCATCAGCTGAGAGCTAGCCCGGGTTTGAGACCCCAACCTCCGAGCATCATGAGCATCAGCTGGAAGCTAACCCCAACACCCGAGCATCATGAGCATCAGCTGGGAGCTGGCTCGGGTTTGAAACCCCAACACCCGAGCATCATGAGCATCAGCTGGGAGCTGGCCGGGTTTGAAACCCCAACACCCGAGCATCATGAGCATCAGCTGGGTGCTAGCCCGGGTTTGAAACCCCAACACCCGAGCATCATGAGCATCAGCTGGAAGCTGGCCCGGGTTTGAAACCCCCACGCGAGCATCATGAGCATCAGCTGGGATCTGGCCCGAGGGAAACCCCCACGCGAGCATCATGAGCATCAGCTGGAAGCTGGCCCAAGTTTGAAACCCCAACCCGAGCATCATGAGCGTCAGCTGGGTGCTGTGAGTGTCAGCTGGGAGCTGGCCCGGGTTTGAAACCCCAACACCCGAGCATCATGAGCATCAGCTGGAAGCTGGCCCGGGTTTGAAACCCCAACCCCCGAGCGTCATGAGCATCAGTTGGGAAGAGGGTTTGAAACCCCAACACCCGAGCATCATGAGCATCAGCTGGGAGCTGGCCCGGGTTTGAAACCCCCACCCCCGAGCATCATGAACATCAGCTGGGAGCTGGCCCAGGTTTGGAAACCCACCGCTGGGTGCTGGCCCGGGTTTGAGACCCCAGCCCCCGAGCATCAAGAGCGCCAGCTGGGAGCTGAACCAATTTTCAACCCGAGCATCATGAGCATCACCTGGGAGCCAGCCTGGGCTTTTGACCTCAATTGGAAGCCAGCTGATGCTCGTGAGCAAAGCCGCAACGGAAACTATTGGATCGTGACGGAAACCGAAACACGTAACCGAAACCAGAGCTGAGCAGAATAGAAGGTTGCAACATGAGGCGTTTGTGCTTCAGGGAGAAGTGTTTGGTTTCCGTCACATTTTTCGCTGGTTCCGTTCTGCCCGCGTCTGGTTTCGTTACACTCCCTTGGTTTCTCTTACGGTTTCCGGCCTGGTTTTCGTTACAGGGCTCGGGGTCTCGGTCAGATCCAGCTAATGCTGACACCTCAACCCTTGCGCATCATGATCAGTTGGAACCAGCCGGGCTTTGAGACCCTGAGCAATGATGAGCAAGCTGGGGTTTGCCGTTTTGACGACTCTGGCGCAAGCATCTGAGCATCAAAGCACTAATGCACTAAAGCCTCCCAGCTCTCAACGAAACAAAGATGCTCTCGGCAAATGCGAGGCTGAGTGCAGTGCTGCCGAAGGCTGCTCCGAGAAACCCTGAACCCTGAAACCCTACATCTCCATGCCCAGAGCTGCGGGATGACCAGGCAAGATTGCAGCCCCGCTCCGAAAACCCGTTCGGGCTGGTGCACGTGACTGTCTTAAGGGTTTAGGGCGTTTACAAGTCTGAGGGCTTATAGGTTTTTAGGGTCGCGAGTATTTGCGTCATCTAGTGGTGGTGGCCTCCGTTTTCTTCAGCCGGTCCAGGCAGAGGTCCGCCACCTCCACCAGGTTTTGAGTCCGGGGTTCAGGGAGTTTCCAGAAGCTCTGGACATCTCAAGCTCAGGATCTGGTAGGGTTCTTGAAAGCATTTGGGAACTGGGATGTTGAGTTCAGCAGCTTAGGTGGTTTTGGGTTGGTCGAGTGCTGCAACTCCGAGAGTTTAGAAATCAAGGGGCAACTCCTGGGTTTGGGGCTTATGAGACCTCTAAACATGCTTTTCCAGGCTTCGCGCAGGTCTTACGGCCCTGTGTGCCTGAGGCCTTGATTGCGTGCACAGTGGCAGCAGGTAGAGGACCAAGTTCCCTGACGACTCGGACAGTAATCGGGCGGATCTTACGAGACGACAGCCTGCGGCCCCCCAAGACACAACGGAGAAACATTGCAGACAGCGTCATGAGGCTTCACAAGGTTCTCCAAGCGCAGCCACTTCAGGGTTGGCAGCTGAAGGAAGCAAGGCTGGACCGGAGGTGGCCCTGCAGGATGGGGGCGGACGGGGCGTACGCAGGCAACAAGCAAAAGCATCGTGAACCTGGCGTCTTGGACTTGCTAGCGGTTGTCCCACTTTCGGCAAGCGCAATTGCTGAACACCATGGAAGGGCTCAGCTCTGTAGTTCACCTTCCCCTGCCCCTGAAGTCCTGAAGGAATATGCTCGCTGTAAGTCAAGGTCTCTGGCTCTGCTTCCTGCGCATGCAGTATTCTGATGAAGGGTCTTGTGCCTTTGTTGGTTCAGTTGTGAGTTCCCTTTCCCTTTGGTTTTGGGTGCGAGGCTACGCAGGACGGTTTTTCACGTGTCTAGCCCATGCAGGCCGGTCGGATTTCTGAGCCTTTTGCATGTAGTATGTCATCACTACCAGTCTGCAAACCAGCAAAAAGGGTGTGGGGCTTTGCGTTTGGGGTTTGGGTTTAGGTTTTCGGGTTACTTGACCGCCAAACTTGACCCACCCGTACATCCCCCATAAGTCCGCGCCTCTGCGATGGAGTTGCAGTGCTCCAAGTCCTGAGACACCAAAACTTCGAGGCTTCTGGGCGCTGCGTCGAGGACGAGGATTCGGGGTGTGTCCAGGATGGCACCCCGAGAGCCCAATACCCCTCAGTTCAGGAATGTACGATGCTCACATTAGGTCCCCTGAACCCCGTAACCCGAAACCATAACAATGTAGCCAAGGCGTAGTTTGTAGGAAGCTTGTCATGGCTTCGATACATGTAGCTCTGTCAAAAAAACACCACAGCCCGATCCAGGCCCCCCAAGCGTTTAGGGTTTAGAGCTTAAGGCTTATAACTTCCGAAGCGCGATAGGCCCTAATCCCTACATTTGAAGGCCGAAAGCCTTGTACATGCTCAACAAAAGGACCCAAAGCCAGGAACCGGAGAAATTGGCCTTCGTTTTTGTAGTTACATGGTTCCTATCAAGATAAAGGATTTAGGGTTTAGTTGGCGGGGGGGCGAGGGTCCGGGGCTTCTCTGCTGGAAAGCTACCCAACATACCCCTTCCAATCAAGCATTATACATCGACGAGCCCTCAACCCCCAAGCCCTAAACTTTGCATCCTGATGTAGCCCAAGATGCTAATCCAAATCAAAAATGTGCGCTTTTGTTCCGGCTCGGGGGGCTTCCCAAAATCCCAGTCCCAGCCCGCCGTGTCTCGCCTTGTCGTCGACGACCTTCTTTGGGTGATTGATCGGATCAATGGAACACTCCTGACAGGCACGAAAGCAGCCCAGGCTCCCAGGCAACCTCAAGAAAACATAAACCCCAAACTCCTCCTCCTCCCCTCCTCCGCCTCCCTCTTCATGACCGAGATGGCCTGGAAGCCTAAAATCCTAAGCCTCTAGCTGCTCCGCAAACGGCCCGGAATATTTGACGCTGTAACAACCGGGAAACCCCCCAAAAGAAGCATGTGAAGTTCTACTATTGGCTCAGCAAGTGAAAGCCCCAAGCCGTAAGCCAAGAGCAGCCTCAAGTCTGCCCAAACCTCATGAAAGCCAACGGAACTTGCGCCAATTTTTGGGTGGTTTCGGGCTGTAGAGTTCAGAGCGGCATTGAAATGCTTCGAGGGTCCAAGGGCTCAAGGGGGAGAACGGAGAAAAAGGAAACGCGCTTGGAAATGTAGGCTATACGGATCCGATCCTCCACTCCTCCTCAAAGGGACCAGCAAGTCACTCCCCGCGTTCTCCCCCCTGCTTCCAGTCACGAAGTCCAAAAGAAACCTGGCAGCCAAATACCTAAACCCCAATTACCCTACACCCTGAAAAGCAACTGCTTCCCCAACACCCAACCACCCCTCGACCCTGAACCGCTCAAGCCATGTTCCCTGAAACCACCCTGAAGCCCTCAAGTCTGTAGGTACACAGATATGGGTATGTACATCTGGAAAACCATTTAGCTTGTTCTTGTTTAACGCCTATGTGTGTATATGTTGCAAATACTTGTATATCTCTACTTATATTATATATCTATACATATATATACATATTCATATATACATGTTTGTATTGTTTAGTTTTTTACTGGACGTACACACACATACACATACCTCCACCTTGCAGAGAAAGAGCCCTTCTGCCTGAAAGACCTTCAGCCAGTTCTGGCAGAAGCGCTTGAACCTCAGGAGGATGCGAAAAGGCTCTCCGGGGCGCTGGGTGGCAGCTCCGGGGGGGCGACCCTCTGAAGGCTTCTCGTTGGCTTTTTGTTGGGGTTTAGGGGGTTTAGGACTTTTTGGCTGGTGGTGTTTAGGGGGTTTAGGGTTTAGGAGTACTTTGGGGCACCTCAGGGGGTACCAGAAGATCCGCTGCTGAAATCCATAGATGGCAGTACCTCTTGGTCACGACTCGCCCTGAAAGCACCCTTTCCTTGCCCTGAACTTGCACTTCTTGCCGAGCCAAAGCCGGCCAGAAGCCGAGGCTCCCGAAAGCTGCAACAGCCCCCAAGCTTTTCGGGCGTTCAGCCGGGAATCTTGATAAGAACGCCTTGGGGGGGGGACAGGCATGAACCCAACACCCAGCCACGTTAATCGTTCATGGTTTTAGGTTTTGGGGTGTGGGGTTTGGATTCTCCGCCCTTGGCCCTCTACAATATGCCCCCTTCAGGGATTACGAAGGGTACCACTATGAGGGCGCCCTGAGTCCTTCGCAAGCTACCCGAAGCCCAGACTGCTCGAGGCCCACACTGCCGAAGCACCTGCTCCCCGTCCTGTCAAATACATCCTACAAAGCCTTAGCCTTCAAAGGGCGTCGAGGGGATGCAAACCTTTCAGTTGCCAAGTAACCTGGGAATGAAAGAGGGAACCCAGTTTTGCTGGACAAAATCTACGGAACCTACTAGTAACTCCCCTGCCCCACCCGCGCATGAATGCGAAAATGAAAGAACGAGCAAATGAGTAGACTCGATGACACTTGCTCAATTTTGAAGGTTGGTTGGGACAAGTTGCAGAATCGGTATCCGCGGGGCGACCCCAAAACATAAACAATGAATCAAAACAGGGCAGCAGAGGAACACCGGCTGAACGCCTGCAATGCCTGAACACTGAGATGGAGGTTCCTAGGGCACCGGGCGACCCACCCAATAGAAGCCTTGGGGTTACAGGGTATCATGTGAGAAAACCAAGAATATCCCCAAAGTTGCTTCAGAACCCCCCAAGGAAAGAATGATCCCTATGTTGCCCCTGTAATGTGGCACCTCCTTTAGTGTGGGGGGCCCCCCTGAACAGTCGAGGCTGAATTTTGCCCTCTTTAATGGCCCACGGGATTTTATATGATTTTAACCGGGAGGCGTTTAGATAGATTTAAAACGGATCCATATGAATTTAAAAGGGATGAGCTTGTATGAATTCAAAAGGGAGCCGCGCGAATCGAAAAGAGGTCCGGGATGAGCTTATATGAATTTAAAGGGGAGCCGCGCGAATCGAAAAGGGGTCCGGGATGAGTTTATTTGAATTTAATAGGGATCCATTTTCATTCATTCATTCATTCATTCGTGACGCAGCTCACTCCAGGGAGCCTAGCGCGGCGTGAAACTAACAAGTCAAGCCTCGTGACAAGTCATATTCAGAGATAGCTCAGGTACCAAAGCATGCAGCATGGTCACATGCAAGACTATATACAAAGCTACGAGCCCTCTCAGTCAGGAAAGATATTCACACATTGCCTGGCATGGCAATGTTGCGCACTCCCATGCATCTTGAAGTCGTAGCAAGAGATTGCCCCACTCAGATTTTACGCAGCCAGCATGTGGTCTACCTGTCGCTTCACCAAGTTCTGACTGTGCGAATTGCGTAGCGCTCGCACCATGCCACGCTGATATGCTGCAGACAACCATGCACCCAGCAATCACAATAAGTGGACCACTCAGCAGACGGCATGACTGTCACTCCAAACTATGTAGCGTGTTAGGTTGGCAGAATGCAATCAAGTAGGACAGAATCATGTCGGCTGCCTAGGCCGTCAGATGAGATGCCGCCGCTTGTCATGCATGTAGGGACTCAGGGGGAGATCATTCCAAATGCAGCAGGTCGGCGGAGACGGTTCGAGCCTGATACTGTTTCCACAGCAAAGACTGCGGCCTTGACAATGCGCCAGTCTTTATGGCTGTTCAAGCGCGCTGACATCTTGAGAGCGGGCACAGATGAGGAGGGAACTCGACATCTATCGTGAGTAACTGCACTTGGGGATGAAAACGGCTGCGGACGGGCACGTGATTGCTGTTCAGTCTGTGCGTGTGCGACCTGACTTCAGAAACTCAAACGAAGTGAACATCGAGACGGGAGCTTTTTGCGCTGATTCAGGCCAGATGGGGAACCATATCAAGTCTGTGGTAGGGGCCGAGCACCTTGGGCTCATGTCCTCAGCACGGCACACGCGATGCGTGGATGTCTCGGTTCTCAACACAATCATTAAGCATCGTACTCTCTCATCTTCTCCACTTGGCATCCGCCTACAGGCAAGCCTCGCGGTTGGAAAAGCCTGCATCTTCCACGGCTTCGACCTGCAGCAGGTATCTGTCGTCTGTTCGAGCTTCAGAGCTGCACTTCCCTGTGCCCATTAGTAACTTAGTATCATTGGCGAGCCTTCTCGAAGCGGAGCACCTGCTGCATTACCGCATCGATGTGCTGACATATGCCCGATCCCTTACAAGAAAACCTCCCACCCTTCTGCTGCTCATGACCCAACACAAATTTCAAGATGCCTCCGCAGACGCAGAAGCGGGCACTGTGGCCCGGAAACACTGGGGGGCCTCACGGCATGTAGAGTCGCTCTGCGAAACAGTACACAAAACCCACACAGACCATGGCAGACAACAGTCACGGACAGCACTTCAGGAACCGACGCGAAACCTGAATCCGAAGACCCGATCGAAACGGCGGTAAGTGTCCAACGTGGTCGGAACAACAATCACGGCAAGCCTGCCAACGCAATCAAGCCCTGCACTGTAAAAAGGTCAGCAGCTTGCCTCAGGCGCGCCTCAAAGCAAGCAGCCAACTCATAGACCACTTCCTCGACGCCCAGGACCGTGGGAGACGGCGGGATCTCCGGGACGGCCTGCGCAAACAGGCGTTCCTCCATTCTGTTCCGGGGCCGCGGGCCTGGAGGACGTAGCAGCGCCGTAGCCTCACAGCACCGGACCAACTGGGGCCTGCTGGGGCGCGCTGCCCCACACACGCACTGAGGACTGGGACGATCACGGTGACGAGCAGCCCGATGTCAAACGGAGCAACCCGTGGCCAGCGCAGCGTTCGTCAAGAAGGTACCTCCATGGTTGTACGCCGCCACATGCCCAGCAAAGACTTCTAAAGTTTGCGGAGGAACTCCAGGAAGATCAAGACCTTGAGCCAGGTTCTCATCCTCATCCGCTGTCCGGTGACCAGAGCTAGCCACCCGCCCTGTTTTGGCCAAAAGGGTTCGGCGGCGCCAGTCGCAAAGCCACTCACGGAGCACCTTCAAGGAATCCCAGCCCGGCCAGAACGCGTGCGAGAGGCCACGAAGGTCGCATCGTCGAAAACCACGCCCATGTTCACAAGCATTCCATCCAAGGCTGCAAAGAAACCGCGAGGGGCAAAAGATCACCACATTCCGAGGGCCTGGCCACGTACCGGACTGCTTGTCTAAGAGCCGCCCAATGTGTCGCCAACAAAGGGTCGCATTCCCATCCGAAGATCTCGAAGAGGATTACTGCAGGAATATCCACTGCCTTGCCTTGTCTGCTCAAGTTCAACGCCTGCCTGCGAAGGTTGACAAGCGTGTCACGCGGAAGAGTTGCCACGGCGCCTGTCCATGTAAACAGAGGCAGCACCAAGGAGCGCACGTGCCTAGCCCGATGCGCCAATGTCTGAGCAGCAACTGCAATGCATTCCAGTCTTCGGCGAGCCTTCTCTGCGACGAAGTTTAACAGGAGAGGGGCCCGCGCGCAGTCCATGTCAAAAGAGACGCCCAGGATGTTCAGCCCATGTTCACAAGCATCCCATCCAAGCCGTACGTCCAGGCTGCAAAGAAACCGCGAGGGGCAAAAGATCACCACATTCCGAGGGCCTGGCCACGTACCGGACTGCTTGTCTAAGAGCCGCCCAATGTGTCGCGAACAAAGGGTCGCATTCCCATCCGAAGATCTCGAAGATCAATCTATAGCCAGCGGTAGCTGCCAGCGGAAGCCCCAGAGTGGAGCTTGTAGCGGCGGCCACGCAGCATTTGGAGGAGTCGCAGCGAAACTGAAAAGCAGCATCAAAGGTGTCACTGGCCTGGACGGCCCCAAGCAACGCTTCCAAAGTGGCACCCCACATGGACCTATCGTCAGCATAGGCTAAGCACTGGGCGCCGGTCCTTTCGAACTCCAAGGTCCAAAAGTGAAGGATCGTCGTCGCCAGGATTGGCGAGAGCGGACAACCCTGCGCCAGGCCTCTCGTTATCGCAGCCGTAGAGCCCAGAGGCGCAGAAGACCCGCCGGTGGTTCTTAAGGAAAGAGTCCACGAGCCGCACGAAGTCCTGCGGTGCGCCGAGGTGTTCGAGGACAAGGCGCAAGTGGTCACCGTTGATGGAGTCGAAGAACTTCCCAAGATCCTGCTGTAAGATGGCGTTGCCGGGCAGGATGGCAGACTGAGCCGAAAAAATGCGTCTTGAACACTCCTGTTTGCCATGCCGCCCAGGGTGCTGCAACCAAGCCATCGACTGTACCAAGATCTGAGCTGACGAGCCAGGACCTTGGCTCCAATCCACCAACCGATGTTGAGCGCCGAGATTGGCCTGGTGTCCCCGGAAGGTTTCGGAACAAGGGCCACACGGGCCAACCGCCACCGTTGAGGAACAGAACTGGACTTGTAAACAAGGGTCCATAGGGTGCTCAGCGCGCGCCAAAAGCTGTCAGGCAGGGCCAACCAAGCATCAGCCTCCCAGGCGTCTGGGCCCGCGGAGCTCCAGTCCGCCCCACATTTCTCGCAAGCATGCAAACAGGAGACAGCGACTGAACAGGATCCACGCGTTCGAGACCACGAACAGAGAGTTCATCGTGGTCCATGGATACGCCAGCAGAATCTGTAAGCGGTAGCAATGGCAGCAATGGCGACACTAGGTGAAGAGAGGGGCACCCCGAACGAACAAGCCCACACCAACCCCAGGGCCCAACCCAACCCAAAGCACAACAAAAGAACTCGAGCCGAAACACTTTTAAAAAGGGACTCATTGGCTTTTTCTAAATTCGGAGCCTCCGGGCCGGGGGCTGGACATTAAAGAGGGTCCCGAATCAGTCCCCTGGACCACCCCCTTGTCGGATTGAGGGGGACCTATTTTTCAAATGGTTTACTTAAAGAAAAATATTGGTTTCGGGCCGGTTGGAATTCAGAAGGTCGGCCTTTGAAATCCTAAGGCCCGGCTTTAAATTCATAAGGCCCGGCTTTAAGCCCAGACAGCCCGGCATCCAAAATCGGGGCTCCGGGCCGGGGGCTGGACGTTAAAAAGGACCCCGAATCAGTCCCAGTATTGGAGGTCGGACCCCCTTGTCGGCTTGAACGAAACCAATTTTTCAAATGGTTTCTTAAAGGGAATTAATGGTTTCGGGCCGGTTGGAATGGATGAGGTCGGCCTTTCAAATCACAAGGCCCGGCTTTAAATCATAAGGCCCGGCTTTAAGCCGGAGCATCCGGGCCGAAACAAGCCCCAAACCCGCAAAAAAAACTCCGGATTTCGGGAGCCATTTGTGTTCAAAGAGGGACTCCCAAACAGTCAGGGTGTCCTGAATAATTCAGCCAAATTGTCTTTAAAGAGGGGGCCGATACTAAAGCGGGTGCAACATTAAGGAAGAAGATTTTGATCTCTTGGGCGTTCTTCAGCAAATGGGTAGCACAGCACGTCAGAAGTGGGGCCCTCGACAACGCGTTTAAGGGTTGCAGGCGCGTCCTTGGTGCCAGCGAGGACCTTGTACTTCTCCCTGGTCGGGCAGGAGGGATCGAGGCATTCCCCTGAAACCCTACACTCCAAGCCACTTTTCAGGGACGAGTTGCTAGGTGTTGCCTGAACAGGTTCTAGGACACAGAGTTTGGGCTGCCCCATCTCACTTTGCAGTTGCTTCGGCCGCATTTGCAAGCCTTAGGGCCTTTTGGCGAGGTTCGCTTGCGGATGGGGACCCCCGCAAGCGCGGAAGTCCCCCTTCAACAACCCCAACAACCCTTAACACAAAACACCCCTAAACCCCAAACCCTACACCCGAAACCCGACAACCCTAAACCCCCCCCCCCCACTTCCCCCTCCCCCCCCTGGTCCCTTCCGCGCTTCACGCGCTCCAGGAAGCGCTGGAAGTCCCTGCGCTTGGACTCGAAAGTCCGCTCCGCCAGGCCGGCGGAGGACCTGGGAGATTCTCGTTTTGCTTTTCGGGGCTTGGGGTTGGGGGTTTGGGGTTTGGGTTTTGGGGTTTGGGGTTTGGGGTTTGGGGTTTGGGGTTTGGGGTTTAGGGTTTAGGGTTTAGGGTTTAGGGTTTGGAGGTTAAGGTTTGGAGCTTAAAGTCCCTGAGCCCTTGCTGCTCAGCAGCTCGGCCGACTTGGAGAGTAGCCCGTCCTGGCTCAACGGGCCGAGAGTTTTCAGAGTTCAGAGAGACCTGTTGGGAGTGTGTTCACCGCTTCCTTCAAGGGATGAAGGGGGGGGGGGGGGCATAACACACTAAACCCTGAACCCTGACCCTAAACCCTAAACCCTAAACCCTAAAACCCTGAGGCCCTTCAACTTAAACTCCTAAGCCCTGCACCCCAAGCGGGCTTGCGGTGGGGCTTCAGGTTCGGAAGCGAAGGCTTTGGGGCTCAGGGCGTTTTAGGCCATTGGACCAGGAAGTCCTCAAACTTGACGGTTGGGTGGCGGGGCTTAGGGCAAAGAAAGGTTTCGAGGGCTTTCAGGGTCTAGGGATCCCGCCTTCACGCCCTAAACCCTAAACCCTAAACCCTAAACCCTAAATCCTATAACCCTATAACCTCTAACCCCAAACCCTGAAAACCCTGAAGCCCAGAACTGTCCATGTCGGAGAGCAGGTCGTTGTAGGAGCGCGCAAGGTTCTCCTGCCACCGCAAAAAGCGTGGTTTAGTGTTTAGGGTTCAGGGTTCAGGGTTCAGGGTTTAGGGTTGAGGGTTCAGGGTTTAGGGTTTAGGGTTTAGGGTTTAGGGTTTAGGGTTTAGGGTTTAGGGTTTAGGGTTTAGGGTTTAGGGTTTAGGGTTTAGGGTTTAGGGTCTTAGGGCCTCGCTTCCACCCCAAGAGCGGCCCTGAAGGCCCTTATAAAGCCCTTAAATGCCCTTGAAAACCCTCAAATCTAACCTGACTTGAAGACCCTCAAATCCTAACCTGAAAGCCCTTCATCCCTTAAAACCCTTTAAGCCTTGAAGCCGTTTCACCCCTCAAACCCTCAAACCCTCCAACCCTCAAACCCTCAAACCCCTAAACCCTGATGAGCGCTTTGGCCTTGAGGTGGCAATTCTTCAAACGCATACCGATTATTCTTATGATGATGATTATTATTCTTTTTCATAATTATTACTATTGTTCTTGTTATCATTATTATAACTTTTTCTTCTTATGATTACTATTACTATTTACACAAATCAGGGAAGCCCTGAACCCAAGAAGGGCCTTTTCCAATTTGGCCGCGCGCTGCTTCGCTTGGAGCCCTCGGGATTTCGGGCTGCGAGGGCGAACTAAGGATTCCAACCAAGGTCGGTTTTGGGCCTCTAGGGTTTAGGGTTTAGGGCTTCAGGTTTGGGTAAAGCTTCGGGTTCACCAAATCACCACAAAAGCAAAAATCCGTCCCTGGGGTATTTGGGTGGCTTGGGAGGACATGTCCACAAGGGGGTGTATCTGAAGCACCGGGATCAACGGCTATCAATCCCCACATGGACAGTCTGAGGTTGCAGGACTTGGGGCATTTTTCCGGGTTTGTAGCTTAGGGTTTAGGGCTTGGGCTTTGGGACTATTCGGGCATGGAGTGCAGGGCCTTTGGGGGGAGGGAGGGCAACGGGAGCCCCAAAAGGGCTTCCGTGGCTCAACTTGGACCAAAGAGTCGGTCATCATACTGGCTGATGACGCTCAAGATGTACCAGATGCACGGCGAGATGAATACCTTTCTTGCTCTTGGGGCTTTAGGGTCTTGAGGGCTTTGAGGGTGTAGGTCTACCTCCCAAAACTTGTGACGCGACAACAATGGCTTCATTGGCTTCACAGCTCATCTGGCTAGAGACACTTGAAGTAGGGCTTGTATTGCTAGGACCCCCTCCAAAGAACACCCCAGGCATGCACTCGCAGGGTTCTTTAGAAAGGCATAAAGGAACCCAGATGCACCCACCGAAAGCAAGAATACACATCCTCCCTCACCTCACAACAGGGACAGGGAACCCATTGGTGACGGCTTCAAGGAGTGAATTCGCGATGCGGTCTTAACCACCGACAAAGGGACTTGAGACAACTAACTCAGCATGTCTTAATGATTTAGGTCGTGTGGCCGTGTGGCCCAGCAGAGCAATCTGCTGCAACCTTCTGGAATTGAAGGCCCACGACCTGAACCCCCCCCCCAGTCTGCAGGCTCGGCACCAAGGAAAGGACCTCTTTGGCGCAGAGCGTGTACTCCTCACCTTGGCTTCGGGGCCTTCAGCTCTCCCCAATCCTCAATCCCTCCAAGCCAGACAGCGGAAACTGTCGTCCACCACTTGCGTGATCCCTTCGCCCCAAGTGAACGCATGGATTGTGCGCAACGATGTCAACGTAAATCTCGGAAGCAAATGGAAGACCTCCACCCCGATGAAGCAATTTGCTCAGAACTGAGGCAGCCGGCGGCCACAAAATTGACACTGCAACAGGCTTCTGTACTTAGGGATCTTGGGGCTTGGTTCGAATCACTTTGTAACGTAGTGGCACTTGGCAGCACGGAAATATGGAACTCCGCATGTTCGGAGAAAGCGCACTCCATCTTGACCATTTGAAGAATACCCCGAACGATGCCCTTACGATACCCTGGTTTCCCTTCAACAGACCAACAGCCAATCGACATCAACCCTTCAACCCTTCACGGCGGGTTCCCAAGGCCTTTTTCGAGTCTCTCGGCACGCCTGCAGCATAGCTGGTTCCCTGGTCTCTCAAGGATACTGCCGCGAGCTTTAAAAAGCAACGATCCCGCTTAGTACTAGGATACCGGCCCACTTTCAGTGGCCTGAGCCTGTCTTCATCCTCATGGATTGAAGAAGCCGCTGATGTTGGCGAACAAGGATGCAATTCCAAACACCGTGATTCCGATGATGTAAGTGTCAGGGCTCATGTCGCCAAGCGCGCCCTCACTGCCACCGCGTGCCTCCATCTGAACCGCTGGCGCGCGCAAAGACTTGCTCACAGGAGATGGAGTTGTGCCCACAAAGCAAAGCATCGCGGAGCAGCCAAGCGCCAACAGCAAGAAAGCGAGCAGAGAGCTGGAGCGGGCCATTGCAAGGCTTGGTGAACAGAAAGCCGGCACAGCAGGAGCGACCTCCAACAACTATAGACAGCTGGACCTGAAAATGGCCGCCGGGTCGCGCATGCCTGCAGCTGCTGCGATCAACACACACATTGCACATGACGTTCCCTATTCCTTTTTCGAGTCTCTCGGCACGCCTGCAGCATAGCTGATTCCCTGGTTTCTCAAGGATACTGCCGCGAGCTTTAAAAAGCAACGATCCCGCTTAGTACTAGGATACCGGCCCACTTTCAGTGGCCTGAGCCTGTCTTCATCCTCATGGATTGAAGAAGCCGCTGATGTTGGCGAACAAGGATGCAATTCCAAACACCGTGATTCCGATGATGTAAGTGTCAGGGCTCATGTCGCCAAGCGCGCCCTCACTGCCGCCGCGTGCCTCCATCTGAACCGCTGGCGCGCGCAAAGACTTGCTCACAGGAGATGGAGTTGTGCCCACAAAGCAAAGCATCGCGGAGCAGCCAAGCGCCAACAGCAAGAAAGCGAGCAGAGAGCTGGAGCGGGCCATTGCAAGGCTTGGTGAACAAAAAGCCGGCACAGCAGGAGCGACCTCCAACAACTATAGACAGCTCGACCTGAAAATGGCCGCCGGGTCGTGCATGCCTGCAGCTGCTGCGATCACTTCATGACTGTCTTCCTGGCCAACACGCACATTGCACATGACGCTCCCTATTCCTTTTTCGAGTCCCTCGGCACGCCTGCAGCATAGCTGATTCCTTGGTCTCTCAAGGATACTGCCGCGAGCTTTAAAAAGCAACGATCCCGCTTAGTACTAGGATACCGGCCCACTTTCAGTGGCCTGAGCCTGTCTTCATCCTCATGGATTGAAGAAGCCGCTGATGTTGGCGAACAAGGATGCAATTCCAAACACCGTGATTCCGATGATGTAAGTGTCAGGGCTCATGTCGCCAAGCGCGCCCTCACTGCCGCCGCGTGCCTCCATCTGAACCGCTGGCGCGCGCAAAGACTTGCTCACAGGAGATGGAGTTGTGCCCACAAAGCAAAGCATCGCGGAGCAGCCAAGCGCCAACAGCAAGAAAGCGAGCAGAGAGCTGGAGCGGGCCATTGCAAGGCTTGGTGAACAAAAAGCCGGCACAGCAGGAGCGACCTCCAACAACTATAGACAGCTCGACCTGAAAATGGCCGCCGGGTCGTGCATGCCTGCAGCTGCTGCGATCACTTCATGACTGTCTTCCTGGCCAACACGCACATTGCACATGACGCTCCCTATTCCTTTTTCGAGTCCCTCGGCACGCCTGCAGCATAGCTGATTCCTTGGTCTCTCAAGGATACTGCCGCGAGCTTTAAAAAGCAACGATCCCGCTTAGTACTAGGATACCGGCCCACTTTCAGTGGCCTGAGCCTGTCTTCATCCTCATGGATTGAAGAAGCCGCTGATGTTGGCGAACAAGGATGCAATTCCAAACACCGTGATTCCGATGATGTAAGTGTCAGGGCTCATGTCGCCAAGCGCGCCCTCACTGCCGCCGCGTGCCTCCATCTGAACCGCTGGCGCGCGCAAAGACTTGCTCACAGGAGATGGAGTTGTGCCCACAAAGCAAAGCATCGCGGAGCAGCCAAGCGCCAACAGCAAGAAAGCGAGCAGAGAGCTGGAGCGGGCCATTGCAAGGGTTGGTGAACAGAAAGCCGGCACAGCAGGAGCGACCTCCAACAACTATAGACAGCTCGACCTGAAAATGGCCGCCGGGTCGCGCATGCCTGCAGCTGCTGCGATCACTTCATGACTGTCTTCCTGGCCAACACGCACATTGCACATGACGCTCCCTATTCCTTTTTCGAGTCTCTCGGCACGCCTGCAGCATAGCTGATTCCTTGGTCTCTCAAGGATACTGCCGCGAGCTTTAAAAAGCAACGATCCCGCTTAGTACTAGGATACCGGCCCACTTTCAGTGGCCTGAGCCTGTCTTCATCCTCATGGATTGAAGAAGCCGCTGATGTTGGCGAACAAGGATGCAATTCCAAACACCGTGATTCCGATGATGTAAGTGTCAGGGCTCATGTCGCCAAGCGCGCCCTCACTGCCGCCGCGTGCCTCCATCTGAACCGCTGGCACGCGCAAAGACTTGCTCACAGGAGATGGAGTTGTGCCCACAAAGCAAAGCATCGCGGAGCAGCCAAGCGCCAACAGCAAGAAAGCGAGCAGAGAGCTGGAGCGGGCCATTGCAAAGCTTGGTGAACAGAAAGCCGGCACAGCAGGAGCGACCTCCAACAACTATAGACAGCTCGACCTGAAAATGGCCGCCGGGTCGCGCATGCCTGCAGCTGCTGCGATCACTTCATGACTGTCTTCCTGGCCAACACGCACATTACACATGACGCTCCCTATTCCTTTTTCGAGTCTCTCGGCACGCCTGCAGCATAGCTGATTCCTTGGTCTCTCAAGGATACTGCCGCGAGCTTTAAAAAGCAACGATCCCGCTTAGTACTAGGATACCGGCCCACTTTCAGTGGCCTGAGCCTGTCTTCATCCTCATGGATTGAAGAAGCCGCTGATGTTGGCGAACAAGGATGCAATTCCAAACACCGTGATTCCGATGATGTAAGTGTCAGGGCTCATGTCGCCAAGCGCGCCCTCACTGCCGCCGCGTGCCTCCATCTGAACCGCTGGCGCGCGCAAAGACTTGCTCACAGGAGATGGAGTTGTGCCCACAAAGCAAAGCATCGCGGAGCAGCCAAGCGCCAACAGCAAGAAAGCGAGCAGAGAGCTGGAGCGGGCCATTGCAAGGCTTGGTGAACAGAAAGCCGGCACAGCAGGAGCGACCTCCAACAACTATAGACAGCTCGACCTGAAAATGGCCGCCGGGTCGCGCATGCCTGCAGCTGCTGCGATCACTTCATGACTGTCTTCCTGGCCAACACGCACATTGCACATGACGCTCCCTATTCCTTTTTCGAGTCTCTCGGCACGCCTGCAGCATAGCTGATTCCTTGGTCTCTCAAGGATACTGCCGCGAGCTTTAAAAAGCAACGATCCCGCTTAGTACTAGGATACCGGCCCACTTTCAGTGGCCTGAGCCTGTCTTCATCCTCATGGATTGAAGAAGCCGCTGATGTTGGCGAACAAGGATGCAATTCCAAACACCGTGATTCCGATGATGTAAGTGTCAGGGCTCATGTCGCCAAGCGCGCCCTCACTGCCGCCGCGTGCCTCCATCTGAACCGCTGGCGCGCGCAAAGACTTGCTCACAGGAGATGGAGTTGTGCCCACAAAGCAAAGCATCGCGGAGCAGCCAAGCGCCAACAGCAAGAAAGCGAGCAGAGAGCTGGAGCGGGCCATTGCAAGGCTTGGTGAACAGAAAGCCGGCACAGCAGGAGCGACCTCCAACAACTATAGACAGCTCGACCTGAAAATGGCCGCCGGGTCGCGCATGCCTGCAGCTGCTGCGATCACTTCATGACTGTCTTCCTGGCCAACACACACATTGCACATGACGCTCCCTATTCCTTTTTCGAGTCTCTCGGCACGCCTGCAGAATAGCTGGTTCCCTGGTCTCTCAAGGATACTGCTTCGGGCTTTAAAAAGCAACGATCCCGCTTACTAGGATACCGGCCCACTTTCAGTGGCCTGAGCCTGTCTTCATCCTCATGGATTGAAGAAGCCGCTGATGTTGGCGAACAAGGATGCAATTCCAAACACCGTGATTCCGATGATGTAAGTGTCAGGGCTCATGTCGCCAAGCGCGCCCTCACTGCCACCGCGTGCCTCCATCTGAACCGCTGGCGCGCGCAAAGACTTGCTCACAGGAGATGGAGTTGTGCCCACAAAGCAAAGCATCGCGGAGCAGCCAAGCGCCAACAGCAAGAAAGCGAGCAGAGAGCTGGAGCGGGCCATTGCAAGGCTTGGTGAACAGAAAGCCGGCACAGCAGGAGCGACCTCCAACAACTATAGACAGCTCGACCTGAAAATGGCCGCCGGGTCGCGCATGCCTGCAGCTGCTGCGATCACTTCATGACTGCATTCCGGGCCAACACCCAAATTCGCTTACTCCATCTATACTGCACGTTTTTAACAGTACATTGTGTTTTCTTATGTTTCATTATATTGTACCATACTTGATTGCATTACATTATCTGGTATTATAGTACAGCACATGACATATGCGGCGTTCCCTATTCCGCATCTCTACCTCCTTGGGTGTCGGTTCAGCCGAGGGACCTCGAGGGCACAGGTTTCAAGGGGGTTAGGCCCCTCACCCCGAAATTCTCTGACATGAAAAGACGTAAGCCCTCGACCCTTGAAACCCAAAAAGCTGTACCCGCGCCAAGCCCTCCCTGAAACGTCAGCGAACCGTAGACCCTGAACCCTGAACCCGACACTCCAGGTCATGCAGGATTTGTGCATGGAGCTCGGGGTGTGGGGGGGCCCTCCATCTTGCGAAAAAGTAGTTATGGTTGGGAGGAGGGGGGGGGGCTCTTGTCGAAAAGCATACCTGCTGATTCTCCAGAGCCAAGGTCTTTATAGCGTTTGAACCCTAAACCCGACATGCTCAGATGATTCCTGCGAGAGAGAAGACTGGTCATGAGAGTTTGGGGTTTACGGCTCAAGGGCCCCAGCAGTCTCTGTTGATCATGGTCACGATGGAGATAAGCATCTGCAGATGGAGGGAATGGTAGGAAGGCTCAGGACATTTTTGGGTTCAGGGTTTAGCTTAGGGTCCCCCAAACTCCCCTAACACTGAACGTTTCTTTAGACTTTACGGTTTAGGGGGGTACATGAGCCCTAGAGAAACCCTAAACCCCAGAAGCCCCAAAACCAGAAGCCCAGAAACGCACACAAACAAACCAAGACCCCCAAAACAGCCAACCCCCCCCTCCCCCACCCCCCAAAAAACTTACAACAAACACGAGAACGACTTAAAAAAACAGAAAGAATCCCCAAACCCCTCGAACCCAAGAAGCCCTGCCCCCCAACCCCGCAAAGGAGCCTCCCTCTAAGGTCCCCAGGGATCCCCCGCAACCCGAAGAGCCCCCCAACCCAAACATGCAGGCGTTGGGGTTTCAAGGTCTGAGGGTTCGAAGGTTCTCAGGTGGACGATTTTTTGTAGTGCATCCCGAAATAGTGCGAGATCTTGCCTGCACAGCATACCCAAGATTACCAAAGTGTCTCAGAACAGCGGAAAAAGAGAAAGGAAAAGGAGAGGAGAGCCAACACTTAGAGTTCAGGATCTGAAGCCTCACCGCTCACAGTGTCCTGAGAGAGGGGGTGAGAGGGGTTACCACCGAAGCCCCGAAACCCTCAGGCCATAGGCCCCATCGAAAGCTTCAGTGCCCGGCCTGCACGGTACAAGCGATCGTCCCAACCTCTGAGGCATTCGGACGTCTGGTGTCCGGGGGAAGTTCCCCGCAAATTAGGGGCTCGAAGGGTCTTGCTTTTAGGGCGCAGCGCCTGTTGTGAAGATTCAACACGGGCCCTGGCATGATGCAGGGTCCCCCAAAAAAGATCAAAAAAGGGAAGCACGGGTCAGAAAAAGAAACCCCCCTCTGCTGCGCAGGCCACGAACTCAGAGGGAGATGCGACACCCAAGCCGAATTATCAGTGCCCTTCATGGGTGTTGCGCTCTATGGGCCGTGAAGCTACACAAGCCAAAAGGCATGAGGTGCTGTATCTTGCTTTGTGTGTGTTTTTGGTAGGCGGGGGTTCTTTAGTTTAGGGTCTGGGGTTTGGGCTGAGGTTTTCGGGTGTAGGGTCCACACTTCGGGTTTGGGGTTTAGGGTCTGCAGACGACTCCAGGCTCCCTAGCAACCTTTACCTCGGCCTCAGGAGCCGAAAGCCCACCCAAAGCTCGAAGCCCTGGCCTTCCGAACCATAGTGAACCCTAAACCTTAATAAACCCCTAAACCCTAAACCCTAAACCCTAAACCCTAAACCCTAAACCCTATCCCTCTCGTTTCGCCTGCCATCGCTAAGTTCTGTGTCAGCGCCGAGAGGGCGCAGGCTCTGGTGGCCAAGTAACTACGGGCAACCCAAGAGGGGACGACGGGCCTAAACCGAAAGAACCCTAAGGGATTGGGGAGTTGCGAGGCCATCAAAGTACTATCGGGCGGCAGTGGGTGGGCCCAGAACGCTGCGCTTGAAGTAGCGAAGGATTTACTCAATCAAGGGATATATTGCATCCCTCTCTTTTCGCCTGCCATCGCTAAGTTCTGTGTCAGCGCCGAGAGGGCGCAGGCTCTGGTGGCCAAGTAACTACGGGCAACCCAAGAGGGGACGACGGGCCTAAACCGAAAGAACCCTAAGGGATTGGGGAGTTGCGAGGCCATCAAAGTACTATCCACTCTCAGGGTCCTTGGGCTTGACCCACTTGGTTTGAGGCTATGGACAGAAGGAGCAGCGGTCGAGCATAGCGACGTAGAACGCTAATGCGGTCCCGCGCCCAACGTGGGAGTTCCTGCAAAAGGAGTTGTGCACCAACCTCCTGTAGATAAAACTCGACTGTTTTTATTTTGGCCCATCGTCCTCTCCATGCGACAAGACTAATGTCTTCGGTCTCGAGATATAGGAAAGTCGCACCGCTCCCTCTGAGCACGCCTGGGGTGGCACCCTTCTGTGAAAGGGTGTGAGGCACTCCCAGGCGCTGCATGATGGCGTTCCACTGAGTCCTGTACATGTGCATAGAGCCTCTGAAGAGTTTGGCATCCAAAGGGAGATGCTCGTACTGAGATATCAAGAATCGAAGTGTTAAGGGGTCCTCCAAGCGGCAGTGCTGTCTGCGCGCGAACCGTTGCGTTTTGGGATTACGCAGGTGCACGTAGGCTAGCATATCTGTAGACATGGCATCGGAAGGAAGGACTAGATCCCGGCGTGTGAGTGGGATCATTTCAGCGGGATGCAACATGCAGAGGAAACCAATGAGAGTCAGGCAAGCCCAGTCATTCCAGCCCCAGCAAAGGGCAAGTGTTACTGCCGCTTGCACTATGGGCTGGGAGATGACCGGACGACATTCGCCTGGTTCCGCTGCTTGCCATTTTTTATCCACTTGCCACGCAGGCGTTAGCTGATTTCGGTGTTGGGGATGAAGATCCTGCACTGCCGTGATGGCATACACATAGAGATACCTCGGGTATCCTGCCGAATACAGATGCAAGCCATAAGCACGCAAAGCGAGCGCTGCAGATTGTGACGCCGACATAACAGCAGCGAACTGAAGACACATCTCAGTCTCAAGCCAAACCACGAATGCCTCAAGGGCCTTCCGCATCTTGTGCTTGGTCGAGGTCGCGAAGCCTGACTCTAAGTCGAGAGGGCCTCTTGGCCGGAGCCTGCTGGAAGGACCTGGATTCCTCTCGATGTCGCCAGCAACAAGCAAAAGAAGACGCAGCCAGCGGCCTGCGACACGGGGGACGTGTGAGGCTGCAAGGCACAAGTCGAACAAGTAGGTGTCACCTTTGGCTAAAGCTTCAAGCCAGAGCGGGCGCTCCTTCGTCGGAGGAGCAACACTGGTGTTGCGAGAGGGCCCGTCGCTCCGATTGTGCGCAGAGTACACATGCAACCCCCCGGGATACAAACCGGATCCGAGCACGTAGGGGAGTGCGGACTGGAGGATGTGACAAAGTGCAGGGCTTGAAGAACGGCCTTTCGAGGCGGCGCCTAGCAACACCCGGCTATCGATCAGACCCAAAAGCCTACTATTGGGGTGCCGAGTGGAGCACCACTTCAGCCAAGTCTTGTAGGACCTTGTCTCCAAGATGTTGATGTGATTCTCGCCCCCGAAACGGTAGCGTAGGAGCTCCTTGAACTCCAGGCTGTCAGCTAGCTCACCGACCCACTCGGGATCTTCATAGAAGGGACGTGGCTCTGGCTTTAAACCTTCACTAGGGTCGCAAGGGGGCAAGGGACCTAAACCACCTAAAGTCAAGGTGTTAAGGGTAGCATGTCTTGCGGACAAAGGAAGGACCGGGACTTGGCCCAACTTGGACTGCAAGCTGCCTGATGCCATGCGGCGCACCAGTGATAAGGGATACATCGCAGAGAAGGCCGAGACACTTTCACCAACCCGAGGAGTGCGGCCGAACACAGCCTCTGGAGTTGGCCTGCAAAGCTTGCTGAACTCGGCAACACGCGCAGCAGTGAAAGTGCCCTCGACTATGAAATGCCTAGAACCCTTACCGCAGTTGCAGGGGCCACTCAACTGAAGAAGCCAAGGTTTGTTTGTGAGCCACTGGTGAGGCTTCTTGAAAGGCGCACCAAAGCTGCAGGCACAGAACCTCACTAACACCGACCCCAAGACCGCTAGCCTCACAAAACACTGCATATAAAACATGACACTCGAGCCCGGTTGCGCGACGCTGTAAAAGCCCCCAAGAGAGGCGATCACGGACATGAGAAAGGCTGTGCGCATGGCTAATTGGTTATGGGCATAGGTTAGGGGTTCCTTGGGGTTGAAGCCCGCAGGTTGGATTTTAGAGCGGAGGCGCGGACGCCTGAGCGTGCCGTAAGTTAGACATGGCGGCGCAGCATGCCACTCGCGAACCACCTTCCGGAGCGCGAGGCTAAGAAGCTCATGGAACACATTGTTGGAACTAACATCCATGAAGCGCAAGACGCGCCCGGACACATCAACACCTGGATGCACAGAGAGACCCGCCTGGGAGTGAGCATAGCTCCAGTTCGAGCAACCAGCAAAAAGTTCCACGCAGTCAAAGAGCACGCCCTCTTGCAGCGAAGCGTGCAAGGGAAAGACACTGGGCACGGAGGCGGTGGCACGGTCGCCGAAGACAGGTTCAGCATCAACATCCATGGTTTCCAGGAGTGCAGAGGCAGGACCAAGCAGTTTGGTGTAATAACCCCGTTGCTCGCAATGTCGCCAGAGTTCAGAAGCCACCCCTGGAGGC